TTATTTTATCAGTTGAACTTTAGATATCGCAAACAGTACAGTGATCCCATCTCTGCTCCCGTGAACAAGATAGTGATGACGTTATTTCGTGCGGTCACAGACTTGTCTTCTAAAGCCTGTTCCAGTTCCAGCGGCAAAGAATAGTTAGTAACCCTCCTCTCTCTCCCTCTTCCTTTCTTTCTCCTTTTCCCCTCCGCTTCGTCATACTGAGGTATGAAATTCAAAGCAACTTATTTTTTGCAAAACACGTAAATTTAAAATATCAAACGAAAGAGCCAATCTCCATCTTACATTTATTGGCTTTTACAGCAATTAGCCTTTTTTAACGTATGTATTTTGAAGAAAAGAAAAAACGAGATTCGGGAAAGCGATCTGAAAAATAGAGCAGGGTGCGGGATTTCGTGAAAAAGGTGCACGAATGCCGGATCAGGACGCCCCTTCCAGACCCCGCTAGGAGTATGGAATGATTCGTAGCCAGTACTTTTAAAACGCATGTGCCAAACCCAATACCCGGTGATCCATTCTCGGTCAAAGTCCCTCTCATCCCCAGAGCCCGTCGCTTTGGTCACGTGGTCTTGAAACGACCACTCGCTCGTTAAAAATTAAGCCGAGTGGCTCTAAGGACGAAAATGTACCCCATTGCTTGCGCGTACATTCATGCGCAGAAGAGCTTTGGGTTCGAGATTGCAGCCGTCACATGGCGTTGAATGGCATGGTAGTGAAAAAACCCCTGAGCTTTTCTGCGCATGACCGCTAGATAGGCAGAAACAGAAGCCGTGGGGTGGAGAACGTGTAGAAGATCCAGCTTTTTGGTCTTGTTCTGGTATATTAAAAACAGCAACAGAGCAAAAAAATATATACATATGCATATCTCATTGCTCCAATGATGTAAATTGGAGCGCAAATTAATAAATCGTATTCCCGTATATATATCAAGATAAATCACAAGGACTTGAAATCAGTATTATACTTTGTAGAAATTGTACTGTTCCACGAATGGACCAACGTAGCAAAACCGAAAAGTAGAAGCAAACTCCGTCATTAAGAATATGGCTCTTAGGATAAAAATGACTTCTGTTGTCGCTCAGATCCGAAAGAAGGAGGAACAGAAAGGTCCAGAAACCGCTAAGGAGACCGAAACCAAAAAAAACAGATTCGAAACAGTCTTAAAATTGGTGCAATTCGCGTTAACTAGGAAACGAATACCTTAAAAATGTCCCCCTGAGTAAAACCTGTACCACTGCGAAAATGTAAAGTCAAGAGCCATGCTATAATAACTTTCATTGGGTGGAAAGTGAAATGCAAGCCTGACATGAAATAAACTAGAATTAAAGACCTTTTTAACAATAGTAAACCTTATCTTGCACTTGATTTAAATGAACTTTATCACACAGTTTTGGCACAAGTTTCGCCGATATTCGTTCGTATTTTTTGTGACCTCAGCTGGCGCGCCATTTTTCAACGTCCTGTCACGTGACTAAGTTACTGTACATGCGCTGTTCCAATATTTTGCTCGAGTCGGAAGCCAGCGAGATTTTGTGATGGAGGGAAAATGGTGGTTTGGTTCTTCGAATTTCTATGGCTATTGTGGATTTTGACGTCTTTTGAAGCGGGAACCACACAAAGCAGAACAATCAGAGGTTTCTAATATTTATTTTTTGGTTTTCAGTGCGTTCAGATGATTGAATATATTTGATTTCGGGGTTTGAACATCTAATGTTTGTTTCTAACTGACTTCATCAGCTGTTGATCAAGTCGCCTACGCTGGTTCGTACGGCAGCCGTACTACAAGATTTTCTCATGATCTGGGATCGGCTAAGCCTCAAAATGCTCGCCCAAAACTCGAAGTGAAGAGCGAGTATGGAGGAAAAAATATTAAGATGGATTTTCAAAGAAGATTTTCCCACTTCGAGGCAGGCGAAAGCGCCCTCTCATCTCGCCAGGACAGCAACAACTTTACATCTAGCGCGGGTCGCAAGGACCTGCCGGAAATTTATATTTTAGTTTTGGTAAGTCGCCTTTGTACCATCTCTTCCTTATTCGATGTCAATTTATTTTCACATGTGTATCCGGCACTTAGGCAGATTCTTCTTCCTTCTCGGTTGAGGTTCAGTGGAATACGTATAGACTTGCTTTTTTACTCCTAAAATGTTTCGATTCGACAGTTTTTCTCTTAGGTACCCGTTACAGTTTCTTTTTTTCCGATCGAATTATAATAATTGCCTGTTGCTAAACAACTTGAGTTGTAGTGTAGAATCGTATGATGTGGATAAATAGGGACACGAAAAAAACTCGAACGTTACTGTTAACGGCCGAGTATATCCGAATTTGATAGCGGTTTCGGGACAGCTGGAGTAATTTTCATCACAGCTAAAATTTTAGTGGGTTTTACTATGCCAAAAATACAACGCTTAGGAGGCATGTTATGTTAGCTCGGTAAATTTTATGTCGTGTTTCATTTTAGACGTTCTTTGCTTTACTGACACTAAGGTAACTTTTTAGATCAATCCATTGAGGTAGTGAGTCGGCTTTACTTGGCGCGTAAAAAATTTTTGCGTGATCTTTCGATCTCGCATTATCTGACCGAATAATTATGTCCGTTCACGATCACTGCTCGCCACTTCTTGGTGATTTTCATTTTAATGGGGTTTGATTCGCTGAACAATAATTTTCGTGACATCGTTCATTAAACCTTCCCACACAAAAACAACAACTGACCGAAATTTAGTTGAAAAGTAGCGTAGGTGTATCTTGACTTTCGTCAATTTCTTGCGAAAATATTCGCACCGGCCGGGTCAAAAAATATCGTCTGCCTAATTTCAAATTGATTCTGACTTGGCTGAAAAGGAGGGGAAATTTGATAAATTAGCGGAACTTTAGAACCGTAGATACAAAACCTGTTTTTGCCGGTAAAAAACGGTTGATGCTTCCGCCAATATTTCATCTTTAATTTGTAGCGGGTTGTTCTCTAACGATAGAGCTCGATTAACATGTTAAATTTACAGGTTTGAAGTTGCATCTAAAATTTCGACTGAGATCCGAGTCTCCTTATGCACACCTGTTATCGAAAATCTAAACAAAAATATGAAACAGGAAAGAATTAACTTGCGTCGAGAATCCTCCAGTCTTTTTTCCTGTTTGGTAGTATTTTTCTTTTTATGTTATGAATGCGTCTAATTTTTATTTTAAATATATCAGTGGACATTTCGAGGCACGTGGCCCGCAATTTGACAGAGAGAAACTGGTATATAAGTGTTTTTATTTTTTCGTTCATCAGCAGCCGAAAATAACTTGTGTTGGGGTTTGAATTAATTTGGTGTTAATGACAACAATTTCAGATATTTGAATTTGAAAAAGTACAAAGATTGCTATCTCTTTTTAATTTGTAAGCTCGACCACAGTAGTTCATGCCAACATGAACGTAATTTCAGCATATCTCGATCTGGCAGCTACACTGTACATGAATAAAACTGTCACCACTTCATTAAGCATTTTGTCACTTTGGTGTTTCAAGGAAGAAAATTATTCCAGTGGCCAATATAAGACGTTGTTTTTGATGTAAACAAATCAGATTCAGTTATTTGAAAGAATAGGAAGTTTTCTTGTTTTGATTTCCCTTGATTGATTTCATAATGTATTTCTCATCTTTTGATTTATTATGAGCTGAAAGTGGGAATCAGTTTTGAAATTATTATTGTAGTTTTTTTGGTAGAAAAATGTTGCAGAGTTTGTAGTTACATATTTTAGTGTTCATGTAACATGATGCATACATGTACATTGTTTCTTTCCATATCACATGGTTTGATTAACAGTTAACGGTTGTCACATTCAGCATCTCCAATGTCTTCTAATTCAACAATGAGCATTTCGTATATTTACATTAATATGTGGATGTTATGTAAGAATGAAATATTGCTAATGAAGGAATCAAGCCAAAAATTAGTTTCACTTTGCCTCGTTTTGTTCATCCATAGCTAAAAAAGGGTGTTGATGAATAAGTAACGGATGTACCATAATGAGACTCTAGATCGTCAAAAATTGTGGAAAAAATCTGGAATTTAATTAAGAACCTCTAAACGAACCCTTATCAGATGAGGAATTATTAAATTGGTTTCACTGTACTCATCCTGTCCAATATGTGCTTACACTGTCTTCACTTTGAAATCTGATTTCATCAATCAGATTTTCCCGAACTCTCTAATCTCCTGTTGACTGACTGAAAAACTACCAGACAGTTGGTGCATTTATGAGAGATTTGTCTTGACCCACTCAACCTCTGTGATGATCTAAACAATTTTTTTCTGTTTGTTTTGTAATCGAGCTGTACACTGTAACTAGAAATACGTATCTCACAATAACCCCAGCGAAACTCGGTTTGGTAATGGCACTGTCGGTCGAGGTTAAGAACTGGATAGGTGGCAAACAGCGAATATTGTTGTAAAGGTCCATATGTTGTTCTTTCTTTTCTTCTTCTTCTTCTTTTTTGCATATTGTGGGGTGTTATTGTTAAAAGTGTATTGAAAAGCATACTTAGAATTATTTTGGCCTCTGGATTTAGAAAAAAACAAAAACAAAGCACAAATGTGGCACTGCAGTTCACATGAAAATTATTATACTTCAGGCTGCTGAAACTTTGCAGACTTTGATCTATACATCCATGGGGAAAACCGGCAAACTAATAAATTTGGGTTTTCCACAGTGTAAAATGATCATAGTGCCTCTCATATTCCAGTCTCCTGTTCCTCTGTCTCTTGTTGTCGGTGTTGCCTTTGCTGTGCTAAGCAATGTTCTCTCTGCTCCTTTGTTTCTTGTTGACGTCTTCTCCTTCATTGTTCACACTGAATTTGAAGTCGGCGTTCTCGCTCCGGGGGAGTTTCGGTGCAAAATCTTCCTGGGTGAGGATTTGGAGCCACTTGTTGTGCTTGTGTGTCATTTGCATGGGAAATTGATCATGATTCACCGATTGTAAACATTTGTTTCAGAGACGATGAATAAACGCAACAGCCTTTCATGAAAATGTGCCCTGTTCATCTGTGGCAAAGTCTATGTTGCCTGGAAACGCAAAATACTCCATGACAAAATGCTACATGACATCATTGGCGGACACCAAGCATATATTCGTAGATTTATGGGGCATCGAAATTTTTGCAGCTGGCTAAGACCATGCGTGGTTAGCAGACTGCGCACACGACAAGTTTTTAAAGTCGCTACGACAGCACCGAGCTTCACTTGGAATAAAATAATACAGTGATAGGTTATTAAACGTATTTGAGATACCATGCTTAAAACTAGAGTCTAACTGTTTCTCAGTGATATCAATGATCCCCACAGTAATCTCTGATTTACTTTATGTTCAGCTTTTCCCTGGAAAAAGCAGTTGAGCTACATGTGCAGTCCCAGCTGTCTTTTTATGCTTATTCTTTTTCTAGGCTTAAAGAATGACAATAACTTTGGACGAACAGGGTGTAAAGAAAGTCAGTTTTACAGCTTGATATTCGGGCAAGATGTAGCTAGCTTTGAATAGCCCAAAAATTTGTTTTGATGAGCAGCATTGATTACAGTTCTTTTGTGATTTGAATTTCCCCCAAAAATTCATTTGCCTGTTGGCCAAGTTACACGTAAGAACAGAATTCATTAGCCCTGTGCTATTGGACACACCTTTTGTTGCCTGCTGGCAAATCCATTTAAGTCCACATGAAATGCTGTTGGGTGAATCAACTTTTGGGATAAAACACCCTGATGCCATAAAAAAAACAAGCTTATGTGATCTTTTCCCAACCACCTACTTAATAGTAATGGTGATAATAATGATGGTACCTATACAGTCAACTACAGTAATTGGAGACACCCTTGCAACTGAAAGTTGGCGTGCGTAATAACCAGAGTGTTAGGCTGTGAATTCAGCTGCTTCTCATCGCTCCCCACCTCCCTGTCTTGCCTAGCAAGTGAGACGTCTGCAGTTAAGTCCAAAAAATTCTACACTGATGACCTAAATCACAGTTTACATTATTCATGTGGTAGTCATTGGTTTCCAGAACTGATGTAAGGGTATGTTACTCCTGGTCTATTATCATAAAGTTTTTATTAGATTCATTGCTTTTATATTTTGCTCTTTGTGACCTTTATGTCTTTTTTCTGTCATTCATAAACAGTAGCTACAAGAAATAGTTACTTCCACACTCTGCTTATTACATGCTTGTGACCGATACAAAGGTCCAGTAGTTTGGTGGGCAAATGGCTTCATTTCTCAGTCATTCTGTGGCCCTGAGTAGAGTGAACATTTATTAGACAAGAGGCGATTATTTGGAAGTTGCCATTTTATTTGGTCATCAGGAGTACTAGCCACTCTAAACCTATCCAAAACATTATTCATGAATAAACAATCAGCCGCCAGGTTCTCTGTTTGGAGTTGTTCTTAGAGATATTGAGCAGTACTTCAAAATGGTTATTTTTTTGGAACCACCTCCTACACGTTCATTATCTGCATTTAGCAGGATGGTCATGAATAGTAATGTTCCTCCCTCCTGAGCATTAAAAATACATCTACTTGAATTAAGGGAAAATGTGGTCCCCCCCCCCTTATCATTGCCAATTACAAGTATACTGTAATAGGGACAGTGACATAAACTGACAGAGAGGGACAACCCAGTGTCCTCCTTATCAGGCGGTAACCGGTAAAATTTACCTTTTGAAGCAACACTTCTTACTGCCTGCAACCGCTTGAAGGTTTGTTAAAATTAGACAAGTTGTTCTAAGAAAATATGCTAGTTGTGATCTTCTTTCTAATATGGGCCATGTAGTATTGAAAGAGAACATTGAAAATAGGATAAAACTATTGGAATCATACATTTCAAATTGTTATCTTAAGATTTAAACTAAAAATAAACTATAAATTTGAATGGAGAAAGTATACTGCCGATTGTGGTTCTTTAAATAGGAAATTTTAAACTTTGTTTTAAGTTTTTAACCTCAATTCGGAAGGCTGATGGCTTGCAACAGCGGATTAGCCTAGAGAAGGTCTTAATAAGAGAATGACATTTCAGAGAACGTATGCCAAGGAGGGCAGGGCCATGTCCCTCACTCCACTTTCCCCCTCCCCAGGAAAGTGCCCCTCTTGGATATATTTTTTTCCGTACCGGTCAGGAATGGTCCCTGACCTCCTGGGCTGAAATTTAGGGAGAACACTGCAACCTGAGTTTAATTCAGGAAGTTTGTCGCGAAGATGATGAGCATTTTGTTTTAAAGCGATGTTTGTCCACATACTGAGTTCCGGGGCTTGTTTCTCGAAAGTCCTGGTAACTTTTCAGGCTCGGAAAGCTGTTTTGTGTTTTCCGTGTTTACAGTTAAGATTGAAGTTTCAATAATTTTGAAAATAATACAATGAAACTCTCAGGTAACAAAGCAACTTGGACTGGTTTGTGAGCTAGGAACTGTGCTACTATTTAGCAAGTTTTGATTTTAAAATTTGTCTTTGGCCTGAAAAGTTTCTGGTTCTTTTGAGAAATGGATCCCTGGAAAGCAAAGTGTGGAAATTAGTGTGATACTGTTCAATGTATGTGATTTGTGTATAAATCACAGTGAACAACAACAAAACTACAACAACGCACTTCATTAAGAAACATTTGAATAGTACCTACCCACAAATATTAAAAAAACTAGTCGAGACAGGTAGGTATGATTAAGTTAGGCTTATTACAACTAAGTTTTTTAGCGCGATACCTATTTGTACTTGCAAGCATTTCAAATTAGCAGCAGTGAAAGATTACAGTAAATTATAGTAAATTAAAATAAATATAGCAGCACTGAAATATTGCAAATAAAAAATAGCAAAACAAAATAACTCCACAGAGGAAAGAGAGAAAGGAAGAGATTTCAATATACTGGTTGAAGTTATAGGATTGTTACTGTTTTACAGGTTTTTAATTATTTCAAGAATTATTGATGATGGGATGGTGTAAGGCGCAAATTCAAGTGAACTGAAAGTAACTAATATTAGAGGTTAGATATTAAAGACAGCAAACTTTTTTTCTTCACAGAACATTGCTACAGGTCTGAGGAACTTCAGTGAGGGCTTAAGAAAGAGGTTTACATCTCTTCTCTCAAAAGGATTAGGTCTTCATGAGCAGAGTTGTGTAATCCTCCATGTCTTCCCAGTAAGTTCTGAGAAACAGCGATTGAATTTGATGATTATGTTTATGTAAGGAAGGAGGAAGTTTTGGGCTCAAAAACAAAATATGAAGTGAGTGATAATGTCGACTCTTGTTTTAGAATTTTCATATTTTTCTTTACAAATCACTTCTTCAGAGGCTTAACCTTTTCACTCCCAGGAGTGACCAAAGTCAAATTTTGCCAAAGTTTCCAAATTCACTTTCTAAAATGCTGGAAAACAAAGAGCATCATGTTAAAGTTCTGCCAATTGCAAAGAGGTTTCATTTGAATGGTTACACGACAGGATTTTGTCCACAGACTCAAGAGTTAGAACAACCTCAAAAGACTTCATGGCATTCATTCTGGCAGTGACAGGTTTAATAAGAAGTTAAGATCCCAGAGTCTTCACTCTTATCACACTTCTGACAGCAGGACTGAATCATGTTTGCATCTAATTTGCAACATAATAATTTGAGTCCTGCTGATATGGTGAAATGATTATAGACAGCAGGGAAGTTGTTGAGTGAGTGTGGATGAAGTGTCCCAGAGGTGTGACGTTGGAATTATTAGATAGCTATTTAATTCCCTTCTGGTTCCTTCTTGGACCAACAAAACGGGCTGTTTTATTTCTCATAAATTTAACGTCTTTATACCTTGTGGTGTTTTAATGGTACATATTTGTTGTGTGTTGGCAAATTCACGAGTTTCTAATAATCTGTTATTATACTTGATTTTCAACCTCTGATATTAATTTTTGTATTTGTTTACAAAATTAATGAAGACAGACATTTTCTCTGTACAGCCAATTTTTTATCTCTATTACATTTTCTTTAGAGGAGGGCAATTACACCTATTATTTCTCATAAATAATTGATGATTTTGTCATGCCATATGACTGAGTAGGAAAAGTCTCTGGAAATACAAGGTGTATGCCCTATGAGAGGTCCATTACGTGGCAAGTTACGAGATTACCTGAAACTACAGTAGATTTGGCATGGAGCACTTATTTTCATTAAATTCACAATACCACCAGAAAAGGCGGTGTGGCGGGCACAATAATTATTTATTTGTTACTTTGTCCAGATAATTTTGTTCATTTCTTTTTTAATAATGTAAAATTTCTTACAGATTGTATAATCAGATGTAATTTGAGATTCAGTTCATTGCATAATATCAGAAGTCATGCCATTTTATAATCACTTGCAAATTGTAGAGACTTCCCCTCTGGTGTGGAAGTTAGAATTATTTATGAACAATTTTCAAGTATTCTGTGCATTGTTTTAATTTTAGATCTCTGTTCAGAGGATCCAAGTTGAACTGTACTGCGAGAAAGATATGGTTAAGGCTATGGGGTCTGAGTGGGAACCTAATGTGTTTATCCCTGCCAGCAAAATGATCCAAACGCTGGATACTCCAAGCATGCAACCATTCCTGAAGGAGTTTAATGTTTCTGCTTATGGTGTGAAGGTGAAATTTCTTCTCAGTATTGTTAAGCCCCTTTTTAATGTCATCTTCAAACTCTCTGTTTGTTGCCAGTAGAGAGTCTGTAAGCATTTTTTAACCCCCATTTATGGCCATATCAGAGAATAAAATGGGTCAATATACTCAATGATTAAAAGTTACAACTTAACATTAACTTATGAAGACTTGATTCAGATTTTTCAATTGAATTTTGCTTTTTCGTGGTTACAGCTTCTGTTGAAGTGTGACCACGATGTTACTGAGTTTTTAGTAAGTAAATAAGCTTATAAAAATGCTACTTAGTGACCCCCTCAAGTTTTTTTTTTGCTTCACTGTTCAAGCACATACAGTGTACACCTGCAGACCTCCATCAATTATTATGTGCAATTGCATTAAGTCTTGTCTCTACCTTGTCCTTATTCCCTTGTTTTAGAAAGAGAGAGAAATATACATTGTTCCTCTCTGATCCCCTGAATGGTTTATCTCCATATGTATTTTAAAATTGTTACTTTTGTAACTTACAGGAGTCTCCTGAGATAGATCTGGCAGTGTATCAAGAGATGTGGTTTCCAGTAGCAGTTGTAGCTGGAGTGACAATCATACTCATTTTTTTGGCTATTGTGTGCTTGGTAAGACGTAGTATACTGTTCACACTTGGATTAAATCATTAATATTAGGGCTGTGTACCAATAGGGCCTGAAGGCCTTAGGCAACTTGAACAAAAACAATGACAAAAACAGAAGAAAACAGCATTTTTCAAGAGTTAGTTTGAACAAAAGGTTTCATGTCTGTAACCTTCAGTCTCTTGATAGGTAAATGACTTTGGCGCCAAAATTCTGTAAATTAAAGCCATCAGTTATCTGCAGCTTGAAGGTTTCCTTGCAAATTAGTATTAAGAATGCTAGCATCATATTTATTACTCTGAACACCTACTAACAACTGCAGCTCTTTAAATTTGATTGTGGTGAAATGAGAAACATTGCTAAAACCATAAAAAGGACTGTAAAAGGATTGAAGTCTCTGAAAGTGGAATAAAGGCCATTTTTAACTTCACTGTGAATAGAATTGTATCAATAAGGAGACAAACTACCCTAGACAATTAACAGTGGTGGATCTGAAAAACAAGATACTTTTAAAGCAAGGCGACAAATATGTGTATATTATTATAATTGTTTAACATGGTGACAGATAGTTTCAATTAATTCTTTTATCTTTGACAGCTATTCTGTCGTCGTCATTTGGAAGCAAAAGCTGAAGAGGAACATCGCACACAGCACCTGGACCCTGAGAAACTCCTCTATCCTGCTGTAGATCCCACAAACACCGTGTCTGCAAGCATGATCCAGCCAGACGCTGGTCGAGTTTACACTATCACAGGATTGCCTCCCAAGGCTAGGAAGTGGAAAGGTTCTCAGCTCTCACTCTCAGACAGGTTTGGAGAAAATATTTTCGACTTAAGCTTGTTAACTTTTGTAATATATTGTATATTCTACTGTGTAACAATTAATGAATGAGGCTGAGTATCTTATGAAGAATTATGGAGATCGACGAGGGTGTGGCCAAGGCGGATAACAACCACGTCGATCTCCATAATTCTTCATGATAAGAAAGCCAAATTCAATGATTGTTTTATCATTCATTCAAAATAATTCCTAGTTTAAAAACATGGCTAAAACATGCTTACCTCGATCGATGTTAAGTTCATCTTCGATAGTGCACGTTTAGGGTTGTCCAGCTCCGCAAATTTTCTCCAAATAGCAGATGTCGCCCTTCGAGTTGTCTTCTTGCTGTTCTTGCCGTGTTTTTAGCAATTTTTTCGCCTAATTCTTACTCTTGAAACGAGTGAATTGTCCGCCATTTTTCCAGTTCACAACCAAAACAACTCAACCTCATTCCCAGGTCTTCTCAGTTAACGGTGCATTAACTTGCAAGAACGCTGCATTTTTGACGTCATTTCCTCGCCAAACACAAATTCTTCCAAATTTGTTCATCAGTAACTGGTTATGGTGAATTAAACGTGTGCTTTTGGCCAATCAGAATCGGGGAAATATTTTGAATGAATAATAATGACTTGTATATTATGTGGCTGACCACAATTTAAATTTTTGGTTTTGTGCCATTGATTATACAAAAATATCCCTTACCTACTTTTGTTGTGAACAGTACGTACATAAGTCAACATGCATGTACATTTATGCTTTTAGAGATAAACAACCTCTGAATTAACATTTGTTGACTATTCTCTCTGGGAATTCTGCAGTAGAATAGACTTTACCTCTGTTACATAGTGCTAGTGTGCTGTGCATATCCTGTGGCAATCCTGTACGTGTCTGACTTTCTTTCTCTCCTTCACTTCTTACATACCCCTTCCACCTCCTTGCGGTGATGAACCAGTTGTCTACCGGGAGCTCCCCGCTCCCACCACCTCGGGCTCAGTGTCCCATATCTTATTAGGGTTATTTTGAGAATTATACAGTACTGTGTATCGGTAAATTAATTTAAATTAATATGAATTTTTGAGGTTTAATTGTGCTGGTATTTCACATTCTAGGCGTGGATCTTCTTTAGTTCTGGATCTCAAATCTTCAGCAACTGAATTAGGAAGTAGCTCTCCTGCCCCAAGTATTCTAGAAAGGTATGAAACATATTTTAGCCTTAAAATAATCTATCCCTGCCAAAGCCCAGTTTAGGTGACAGTTTCATGTAGATGTTGAATTTTGAACCTGTAAGAACTACGGCAGTGGCTATTTTAAAGATGATCGTCTTTATCAAATAGAAATTGATTTCTTCCTTTATTAACGTTAGAATCTCTTGTTGTGATAATTACTTCTTTCTTTCTTTTTTTCTCTTTTTATTAGTCCCACAGAAGAAAAGCTAGCTTCTAAATCCAGACCCTTGACTTATAACGAATTAGAAGATTGTGTAAATAATTCAAAGCAAGTAACTACAGAATTTTGGGTGAGTCACTAGATCATGTAGTCATAAATAAAGAGTGAAAAGGGGATTTTGTTTGGGATTGTTGTTCATGCAAATATGTCATGTATTCTTTTCTCATGTCTCATGCCCCCTATTTGTTTTTTATGGACTGGCCAATCACTACATTGGAACCTTGACATAACGAAGGGCCAAGGAACTGGCAAAATTAGTTTGCTTTACTGAGGTTATTTTTTCTTATAATATTATTTTAATATTACTGGGGTAAAGAAAATCATTTGTTTTACCTAGGACCTCATTATGTAGAGGTTCATCATATCGAGGTTCCACTGTGTAGAGGAGATGTGGTATTAAGTTTTCTTGAAACTCTTCCCAAAGCTCTGAGTTAATGCTATTTTGTGACACTCGTAAGGCTGGGTAGGGGTCATAGTACTTCAAGTGGGCAAAGGAGGTTTAAACATTAATATTAGGCTGAGCTAGCAACAGGACGGGAAAGTCAGTTGACAAGGGGAAAGCGCACGAAAAGGACTAAACATGGCTTCCGGTGCCCAATTTTCTGCTCTGCCGTTGGTCAAGCCAGTTGTTTCATCTGCGCATGCCTTCGTCGACTGATGTTCACGTTCAGTTGCTAAATCAGCCTAATAATGCTTAAAACCTTCTTTACAAAACATTGTAAAAAAAGTAAAGGCTTGACATGACTCCCACCAGACATAAATGTCATGTGGAGTGAGTTACAATAATTCACTGAAAGCAGGCCTAGTTTGGAGAGTTCTAGCACAATACCTCTGGGGGACTCCTACATGTAGTTTTGAAAGTACCGTATAAATCTCTTGTGCATCTGTAAGGGCTACCATTTTCTGTTCTCTACTCTCCCATACATGTAGTGTATTAATTTCCCCTCAGGATTTCTGATCTGGCCCTGGTTGTTCAAACGTTGGATAGCGTTATCCATTGGATAAATCTCTATCCAGCAGATAGATCCAGCTAATTGATTTCCATAATACTTATCCGGTGGATAGTGATTTACCCGGTGAGTAGTGCTATCCAACGTTTGAACAACTGGGGTCTGAACAACATTTCATAGAAACCCAGATTAATCTCACTTCCTTTATTTATCCAGGAAATGCCCATGAACCATCCGCCTCCTGAAGAAAGGCTACCTGGTTCAAGTTATAGAAATAGATATCCATTTATTTTACCAAGTAAGTTAAATTGTACAGTGGAACCCCATTAATACAGACACCAATGGACAAAAAAAAATTGGCCGTATTACCGGGATAGGGTCAAATTTCATGACTTGAGGGCCGTAATAACAAATACACCATACATCACATTTGCACCTCTTAAACAACTAGTAATTACAAAAACTACTTGAAACTTTCCTCAAGGCTCAATATTAACGGCTGCCCGCTTGCCTGGGGCTACTAAACATTTCCTCTGGTCCGGATTGGACAACTGAAATTTCTGTGAAAGTTATAGATTAACTAGACTTTCTCAAGGTCCTTCGCTTCTCATTTCCGGTTCCGGTAGTTGGCCCCAGCGTGAAGGACTTTTATCCCCTGCAGCACGCCAAATTTACAGGAGGAATTTTCCTCCTGTAGGTTTTATCCAATCACCTACGGTTTTACTGATGCGCTGTCAATCAAACACGATCACGTCACATGAAACGTGACAATCCTAAAAGGTAATAGGGATATGATCAATACATTGTTCCTGACACTGTAGCTGTCAAACCTACGTTTGTTGCTTTTTTTTCAGCACTCGTAAACATGTCCATGGCCTCTCGTGTCATTCTCTCAAAATTCTTTGATGAACAGTGAATTCAAAGCCACCCACAATACCTTTCGGGATTGTCACGTGCACTTTTTGCGACAGCCTTTCTCAAAATAGCTGTATGCAACAGGTAGAACTCTACAGAAGATCAAATGTGCAGTCATTATTTGATACAGTGTATTATTATCAATGGCTGCTCCTGATTTTATAAATAAATTATAAAGTATTAACCTATATTGATAACTGTCTAAATTATCTTCTCTCAGATGCTAGGACTAGAGTAAATTTACCAGAAGTACCTGGAGATCCTCTCTCTATCTACATTAATGCAAATTTTATAAAGGTATAGTTATTAATTTGAGGGTTTTAAGGTACAAAGTTTTATATCTCTCATCAGGCGTGGATCTAGGATAAATACTGACCGATTTCCTAAACGAAGGGCCGAGGGAGCAAGCTTCTAGGGGAGCCCGGGGGCATGCACCCCCAGTAATGTTTTGGGATTTTAAGTCCCTGAAGTTCCCTTTCGCGGGTTTCTGTTCAATGCCCGGAAATTGGAAAAAGAAAACATTTGTCCAGACCATCTTTGAAAGTTCTATTATTATTATTATTATTATTAAAAATATGTTTATTACGAAAAATCTGACCAATTTCCGTAAAACGGTGGAAACCGGTGTGGATCCGCCCCTGCTCATAACCTAGTCTCTCTGCTATTACGTAAAGGCAAACTTGTGGACATATATTTCCTGAGTTTTTCCACAACTTGAGAACATTCTTTTCACATAATTATTGTTCATATATTCACAAATTCAGTCATTTGTGTTAATGTTATAGAGTAAACTTAGTTTGCTACAGAACTCATTTCCAACCTTCCCCTTCTAGTACCTGCTCTTACTAGCATAATGTACTATTAATTATTTTATTTACCTTGTCTATGATCCTAGTTGCACAATGTCATTACTATTTTCGTTAGCATTCATCTTTCCCAAGACCACAGGAAACTCCTATCCTTAGGACAAAACAGACTTGAATGGATATTTTCCCTTTCAATGCTCTTACTATGGTGACCGTGAACTCACAAGATTAAAATGTATTTCAGGGTTATAAGGGTCGGAAACAAGCTTACATTGCAACTCAAGGTACATGTACCCAGTGGTTTTTTAATTTGATTAATTAGTTATCTATTTCCTATTAAGTTATTTTTAGTCTTTAATTTTTTTATAATTTCTTGTAATTTATTATTTTGTTTAACCCATTCGCTCCTGGAGATTTTGCCAAAAAACGCGTTTTGAAGCTAGTCGAGTGGTTTTCTGGTCACTGTCGTGCTATAAAGAGCTAAAACTTACCACAAACTGGTTTACAAGTCGAACACTTCGCGGCCTTCTGATCCAGATGCAAACTATCAGCTCGCGAAGTTCGGGCATGCGTAGAAAGCAAAATTTCAAGATAGTTTTTGGGTTTAAAAGTGACACGGCAGTCTTGACTTTTACTTTTCGCTTTCTCTCCTCCCTTCTTTTTTCGCTTTTCTTGCCTCATTTTTTTTCCTCTTGCTGGGCATTTAGTAGGCTTCATTTTGGTGGGAAGAGTTTTTAGGAAAGCTTTTAGGATCTTAGGATTAGGTGAAAGGAAAGGTAGGTGGGTAATGGAACAAGATTTTCATGGAGATTTTCAGGTCAATGTCAGGTGGTTTTTTGCTTGTTTCTCCGGTGTCCTTGACTAAATTGTGCTCATTCTGGTATGGTTTGAAAGATCTCTTCACTCTGCTCAAGTTAGCGAAGAAAGTTGTCCTTGACCATTAAAACTGATGACGTCACAATGGGTAGAAAGGACCTGGATCCGCACGGGCGGTTACGGGCGGTTCAGGGGCGAATGGGTTAATTCTTTTTTTCATTAGTCTGTTATCTAGTCCTCATCCATATTACGATTTTTATTTCACTTATTAGTAAACTGTTAACTTTCCTTAGTTAGTAGCCTTAGTCTTTATTGTTACATTTTGCATGCATTGTCCTGCCTCGAATATCCTTGCTAGCTGCAGGCAATTCTTCTGTAATTTTATTTGTTTATTAATAAAGTTTTGTTGTTGTTGTTGTTGTCGTCTAATTCACCTGTAAGTGTTAAGAACATTTTTCTATTGAATTATGGGTTATCTGAATATTTCTGACAACAGGCAGTAACATTCTTCTTGCAGGTCCTTTATCATGTACAGTTAAAGACTTTTGGAGAATGATTTGGTATCACCAGTGCCCCATTATTGTAATGATTACAAAACTTAAAGAAAGAAATGAGGTATGACTATGAGTGGCAGTGAAATTAAATTTGCGGTGAACTATATTCATCAAAATTAGTAATATGTTAAATTTCATTACCTTAAATTAAGGCCTTTTTTCAAAAATACCGTAATACTCTTTGTTGTCCCTCCAAAATTTTGCATAAGCATCGTTTTCAGAAAACAATGCTTTTGCAATTACCCTCACAGAAAAGTATATTTCTGTGAGGGTAATCCTAAGCAGGGTCTTGTTTTTTTGCAAAGAAACAACAGGAAAAAAAACAGATATTCTGTCAATTCACCTCCCACTTAACGGGGATCATTGTCCAGTACATGGTCATAGCTTCATCCTTGTAGCTGACCATAAGAATCCTTTACAGTAGATGAGCTGGCATCAGCCTAGTCAAATATATTTTCCAGTACCAACTGGGAGTCTTTTGTGGGGGGTATATGATTGTGTATTTTTTATGGTTAGAGCATTGTTGTCCATGGGGAAGAAAAGAAATCGAAAGTTTAACCAGGGAAGGGATATACAAGAGAAGAAACATTGGAGAATGAATGAAACCTGGAGTTAACTTTACAATGTACCTATACATGGTCATACCACAGTAGTGAGATGTGGGTACTGACAGCACTGCACCAAAACCATTTCCTCTTACAACAAGTGTGCTCTTTACTCCGCAGACAAAATGTGAACGATACTGGCCAGATCCAACCTTTAGAATGCAAGAGAAGTATGGAGACATAGTTGTCACATTTGATTCTGCCATAGGACGAGATGGTTATCAGATAACATCTTTGTACATAAGTCACTCACAGTCATTAGAGGCTCCACGAAGGGTGTACCATTACTGGTATACTGCTTGGCCTGACCATGGAGTCCCAGACTCACCAAGACAATTTCTCAGATTAGTGGAAGAAGTACACATTGCACAGGACAGGGAAGATGTGAAAGAGGGGCCTGCGGTAGTGCACTGCAGGTTGGTAACGTTTTGGTTAACTTCATACTGACAGTATCAACTGTCAGTAGAAAGTTTCCTTGAGTATTTCATCTCTCAAAGGCTGTTTCTGTATTGTATTAGTTTTGAAGGCAAGTATCCATTTTCAGCTCCACTAGAATATCCATGGTCTCTTATGAATGATAGTTACAGCTAGGAAACAAAGGAAAATTCCCTTTAATTACTAGTCAAACTAGGTTGAATGGCAGCTATGTGGAGCCAGGGGACTGTTTTGCAAAAGTCTTTTTTAAATCCAGAATAGCCTACTTACAAGTATGATGCAATGTTAAGATTGCAATTCACACTTGAAGATTTCATCAACCAATACACCTGTCCCCACATACAGTTGTGGTACTGAGGTCAACTGACATGATTCCAAAAATGACAGTAGATTAAATTTATTGAAAGCTTCAATAAGAGTTTCTATTATTAAATATACTTCAGGACAATGTTAGAAATAGCCTCCCACACAAGCATTTTAAGGGGAGCTCGTTTTTCATCCCTCCCGACAAACGCCTGCTCAACCCAAGAAAACATTCCTTTCCCAAGCTTAGCCAATCACATTGTACTTTCCAAATTCTGGAAAGTTGACCTTGTCGCCCGCACGGTAATCTAATAATTACTCACTGGGAAAGCTTTCAGACCTCTAATAAAATGTTAGATTCAGAGCAGCGAAATAATATTTAGTCAAATTTTAGAATACGCCGTGCACTGCATAGCCTTAGCGAAGGAAAGAAAAGAAGGAAAACGGTAACTCAAGGGTCTCATTTTAGTCGTGTTTAGCTTGTCAGCACCTAATTGCACAACTGTTAATTGGTCACTTACCACGCAAATAAAACAAGTGGAAAGGAATGTTGTTTTCGGTTGAGCAGGTGTTTGTGTGGAGGGATGAAAAACGAGCTCCCCTAAAAATGCTTGCGTGGGAGGCTATGTTAGTAAGAAACCTATAAAGAAGTTTGAGGCATTATTTGTTCATGCATGTCAAGTTTGGGATGTCTAGCCTTGTATTAATGATTCAAACTCGACAAAAATTATTCTGTTAAATGACTGAAAACTGAGATGCCTCTCCTTTTCTTTTACCCACTGAAATTTTGTTTCTTACAGTGCTGGTGTGGGAAGGACAGGCTGTTTTATTGCAGCAAGTATTGGAATTCAACAGATAAAGGTATGGTCATACTGGCACTAACATTCAATTGGGAGCTCAACAAGTGAGAAGCTTGATGCGCTGTGCCATATCCACAAAGTCATATTTGACAAGTTGACATTCTATGTATTTAGGATTCTTTTTAGCTTATTAGGTGGTCTGTTAAAAATCCTGGGATATCAGAATAGCATAATTATTTATTTATAATTATTGTTTTCCAGCAGTTGGAAATCCTTTTTACATATTTAACCTCCCAAACATCACGTGAAAGCTCTTTACTTCTTAAGTACGAATACAATTAACCATCAGTTGCTGACTGTGTAAAGTTTGCTTGAAGTTGAAAAAAAGCTTCAAGTGATCTGTGATTAACCATGAGGCTCCATTATTTGCCTTCCATCTGCTTGTGAAACACAGGGATGTCAGTAAGGGCCAGGGGTCACTGATTTCCCTCAGATATTTTAAGCTTGAAAACCGGCTACTTTCATAGGAAACAAATAGGTCTTTTGCATTAGTTGATCACGTGATCAATTTTGGGCAAACACGAAAACAGTTCGTTTTTGAAAAATTTTGTTAGCACAAGCTGAAAAAGGATATTTAAATTATGTAACCTGCAAATTTTCAGCCATATGTCTCAAAGTAGCAATTACAATGGTGGGTGAAAATTAGACGGATTTGTATGAGAAAAATAACTTTTGCCACCCAGTCACGCTTGAATGGTTTACAATACAAATTCTTGTAAATTCTTAAATTTTATTTGTTGTGAAATCTTTCCCTTACACATTTAAGGGCTCAAATTGCCTGTTATGAATTGAAAGGAGATTTGAGCCCTGTCATGCTTAAGGAAATATTTCACAACAGTTTCAAAATTTCGAAATTTGCGAGGATTTGTATGGAAAACCATTCATGCGTGACTGAGTGGCAAGAGTTGTTTTCTTATACAAATCCCTCTAATTTTCAGCAGCCGTTGCAATCCCTACTTTTGAGATATATGGCTGAAAATGTACAGGTTACCTAATTTTAATATGCTCTTTCAGCTAATGCTAACAATTTTTTTCAAAAGCAAACTGTTTTTGTGTTTACGGAAAGTTGATCATGTGATCAATTAATGCAAAAGCCTATTAAGGAAGATAGAATAAACAACACTTGGCAACTTAAACTTTTAGTAACAGCCCTGGGAAGAAAGGGGGAATCTGACAAGTGATCACAAGCCTCTTAGGGTTTTTTTCCACAAACCCCTCCAAGTACAAGTTTTTATCACAGGATTGACCATTTTCACTTACTGTCAAATTTGTCTGCAACTATTAGAAAGAAGATTGTATAGACATTCTCAAGATAGTAAGCCTTATGAGAATAGACAGGTTAGTACTTACAATAATTCTTAGTAAGTAATAATATTATAAGTTTTACTCTTTTCCAAGGCTTATCCCTTAGTGGAAACCCACTATACAACCACCTTGTTAGCAAAATCCATTCCTTTTATTTATCAACCAATGACCATCCCTTGGAGTGCCCAATCATTATCTTGTGTGCAGTTTTAGGTTTTTAATCATAACTATAACAAAATTGTCAAATCTTGTTGGCTATCAACTGCCCTGATTTCAGCCTTAATTGGACAGTTTAATAGGACAGTACAGGTCATGCCTAAGTAATTGGACAGTACACGCCATCATGCGCGCGCTTAAATGGCTTTTTTTTTTTCACTGCTAGCAAAACAAAATTTCGGATTTCTTGTGTTTTGATTTAAAAAATAACCTATTATGTCACAAATTTTGTTAAAGTTATGATTAATTGGTAACAGAACTTCGTGTCGTCCAATTCGGTCTGTAATCCTTCTCGTGATTAAACAAATCGGGCTCCCGCTACGCGGTCGTCCGATTTTGTTAATCACTCATATGATTACAGACCGAATTGGACTCCACTCAGTCCTGTTACCATTACTAATACAACAAATAAGATGCCTGGCCTCAGTTGGTTAAAACCTGGATAGCACTATACATGGGACAAATCATTTTGGATGGATTTGTAGTAATTTGGGGAACCCCTTTTTTATTACATTATCCACTGGACAGACCTTTATTCAGTGGATAGTGCTATCCACCTTTTGAACTACTGGGGCCTGGTGACCCCAGTGAACAAGTGAAAAAAGCATTAAAGCAGACAAAAAAGTCAGACTAAATTTAACAGAAAGTCATCAAAAGTCCATATTTATTGAGGTTTCCATTGATTTATGTAAGATATCTAACAGTGATGGTCAGTTTGAAATCATACTTGTTATGTAGTGTCAAATTAGGGCTGTTTATACGAGATTAGCAACTCCAGGGGCTTCCACTTTTGGCACAGCCAGGCCCTAGACAGAGTTACGCACCCATGGCCGGCAAACCAGTGCCCTCCAGCCATGAGCCCCCACACCAAGCCAAAGGGACCTCCGAGCTGAATGCCAAGCTCAGAGAGAAGGGGCTCATAGCTGGGAGAAGCCTGAGCCCATATACTCCAAACCTGCAGGCACCCACCCATGCTGAGCATGTAGAAACATACAAAGGCTAAACAAGACCCAAGTGCCAAACATACAGCGCCAATGCCCCATAAATGCTACAAACACTGTAAAACACCACAAACATCCAACCCCAATGCCCAGTAAACACTGTTAACGCTGTAAACGCCACAAGGGTCCAACCTCAATGCCCCCAAAAAACTACAAACTTTCTAAGTGCCACAAAACAACCAACCTGAATGCCTCATAAATGCTACAAACAGCTGTGAATGCCACAAACGTCCAACCCAAACACTCTATAAACAATACAAACGCTGTAAATACCCAAAAATTTCAGCCCCAACGCCCCGTGAAAAAACTATAAAAGGACACTAAAAAAACAATACCACTAGTTGTACACTTACCAGTAAACAGATGCTAAAACATGCAAAAAACACTATAATATGTTTATAGTACTACTAAAACTATTTACTACAAAGTACTAAAAGGAATGTGGGTGCCTGGTGTATCCAGGGGCCTCCATTGTGGTCAGCCAGTCCCTAGAATCTTCTCCCATGGCTGGCAAATCCCCACAATCCATCCATGGGCCCCCTTTCCAGGCACCTGTCGTACTGATGCATGATGAATCTGTGGAAAGAGACAGGGTAGCGTAGAGGGGCAACACTAAAAAAACCGCTTCACTCTAATGCGACCACCACAAAAACCGCCCAGTTTGATACTCCTGGCTGTGACGAAGCAACAACGTTCCATGTGAGTTGTGAGTTTGACCGTTGGCAGGCGGAGACTGTTAAGCTCGTCGCTGACAACTTGTTAAATTTCCCCCAAACACTGCCAACAACGCTTGCTCAGAGGAAAACTAGGCAAACCAACAAAACCAGATGAAACGATCACACAGTTAACCGACTGCCTCAATGGTAAAACAATCGCTACACAAATGCTCAATGAAGAACTTGAAGATCCTAGCTGTGTACAAAGCTACCACGTACCCTGTGAGCCTGCACTTATGGAATTGACCACTGAATGCCCGGTAAGCTCGTGGACCACTTGACTGCTAAGCTCGTGAACCACTTGACCGCTAAGCAAGTGAATATAAAACCACAGTCGTTCCGTCTCACAAATACACCACCGACAAGCTGTTGTAGAACTTTCAAACCATGAAGTTGCAGACAAAACACCCAAGGGAAAATTATGGCCGTGCTAATTCAGAGACAAACGCCCCTCCAGGACTGTTTGCCTAAATTACGAGGAAACAACGATTGCACAAAAGCCAAACATAGCCCATGTCAACAAAGAAACAAACGGCTTGAACAAACAGCAAAACAGTGAGAATCAGATGATAAAAGAATGATCCAGAGGTTAAACGAAAAAGTGGCCGCCAGGGAAATGTTTTACTGAGCACATGGAGGTGATGCAAGCAAGGCTGACCGCACTTGAGCCAAACCACTGACTGCTGACCATGCCCGTGCTCCTTGTTGTCAACTGTGTCAAATTAAACTTCATGAAAATAAGCCACAAAAGGAACCATTTTATATGATTATGGCTTACATAAGACACAAACTGCTCATATAAATTATTTGTGGCTTAGTTCGCTGTCAGACCAGTCAATGATGACGTAGTTTGTTTTGGTACCTCATGTAATTTTCAACAGTGGCTTGAGCGAGCAAAAATGTGAAACCATTTGCTCTGGTCAGGAAAATCCCCATATTTTACACTTTCTCTTTCATTACAAATTAACATTTTGGTCAAGATTGGGCTGTTGCAAAACTTATGCAGAAACCTCTTTGAAAAGTCCATCAGCAATCAATCGAGTGGTTTGACAGAGATGTTTCAGGAATGGATGAGGTGGAGTTTAGATGAAATTTCCAGCTCTCTCGTGCAGCAGGTCATTTTCCTGCCACTTCGGGGTGCATCTCTTGGCCATGAAGGTCTGAAATATAATTGAAAATAGAGCATGCACTGCGATCGTTTATAGCTTTAGCAAACCACAAACTCATGAGTGCATTTATACAAACACTTTCACGTCCAAGGTAAGCCACGGCTAGGATAAGCCCACCCCAAAATTCCTTGCTCATGATAAGCTGCGGCTTGAGCTAGCTGTGGGTTGAATAAGCCATGCACGAAGATTTTGTACCATGTATACAGGGTGTTCGTGTCCTATGGAAGCCGTGGCTTATTTTATCTTTTATAAATGGCCCTATTGTGACTCCATCTTGTCAATACAACCATAATGATTTATCTGTGGCCCAGAGGTGGTCATGTTACTAGGGTTCCACGGAGTGTTATTCTTACCATATTCATAATCGATCACTCATATATAGAAGAAAGGCCTAGAGTTTGCTTGTCATCAGCCTTGTATAATTATATCTCAAGACATGACAAATACTGTGTAACTACTCATTGTCAAGTGGTTCGTAAAGTTTTACAAGTGTCTAACATTGTGTTTGTTTAAACCTTCAGGGGAGGAATGGTTGAAAATGATCCACAATATGAACTTGTATACCAAACGCTTCATCATTACTGGACAACTCGTACAGGGAGTGAGGATGATTCACATGACATTGCTTTAGAGGCAATCTTCGATGAATAGTCAGCTAATTTTGAAAAGATTGATGGATATACAGATCAATAATAATCTTACATGCTGGTCATGGGAGAATAATAATTTAAAGGCTGCATCGTTGAGTCTGCAATCAAGTGTTTTGACCACTGCTATTCAAGATGGGCTTAATATTGCAAGATTATTTAACCTGCAGATTATATAGACAAACTAAATTCGAAATTTATAACCATATTAAGACGATTTGGGACCATCAGCTATGTTTATTATCAACTTAAATTGAAGGCGAGTCTTCAAAGCACCTGACCAAGTTGGTTTGTTTGGAAGTAGTTCTGCCTGGATTGTGGTTTTATGTTAATTGGAGGCTTCCCTTGCAGGACAAGGGAACAACAAAGACCTGTTGAATACAGGAAATATAGAGTGACTTCACTGGCTATGACTCAGAACTGCATTGTTAATTTACCATTACAGATGACTCAAGTTTGAGATTATTGTTATTTATGCATTTATGAGAAATTATTTCAAGAACCAGGAGAAAGAGACAAATTTACAAGGTGTTTTTTAAACATTTGTTAAGTTGGAAGAACTGAAAACAAGGAGGCTCTGTGGGCATGTCCAACTGACTTTTGGAATTCTTGCCTTCTCATGATACAAGGAGGTTTTTGCTACATATTTTAAATCCAGAGTGATTACACCTCTGTTTAATGTTACTGTTTGTATCAATGGTATTCGTGACAGGAGATTTTAGACACTATATTAAGGTGAATTATTTTTTCATTCTTCCCCATCATCACTACATCACCACAGGTGCATTCTGCTCTTATATTTTGCAGAGAAGTGCAATAATGCATTATAAAATAAAAGGACCTCACACTTCTTAGTTTACTGAGCATCAATGCTTTAAAATTACTTTATTTTGAACTTTTATCGCATGGATCCTGGTTTACTATTGGGACTATAACAAATTACCGATATAAATGTACTTAATTTACTCAAATAAGTGCCGCCCAATTTAGCCCCGATATGATGACAATCAAAACAATTATTATTTTAGTTTAATAAAGAAAATTATAATACTGTAGTTAAAACAATTCTTTGTGGCATCCAACTTTCAAGTAAACGTGGCTCTTGAATTTTAGGTTCCACTTTTTAGATGTTAAAAATTTGATCAGTGCCGCAATGCTTATTCAAGTAAATACGGTAAGCACTTATTTAAATTTGAGAGTAATGACCAAGCCCCAGTTGTTCAAAAGGTAGATAGTGCTATCCGCCGGGTAAATCTCCATCCACTGGATAGTGCATTATTGGTTTCCCTAATACTTACCCACTGGATAATGATTCATCCTGTGGATAGCGCTATCCAGCTTTTCAACAGCTGGGGCCAGGGTGAAACATCAAATACATCCTTAAAGTGAGAAATTATTACAAAGTATTTATCAGATTAATATTATATTGTACAGAATTATTACTGAGGGATTTTATGAAATTCTTCTATCAACGTAACTTATTTACCCCCGAGTGATGTATATGGATTATGTTAACACAGAGAATTGTCAAGGAAGTTTGTATTTAATTTATTTTGAATAATATTAATATTATTGTTATTATCATTGTGTGTATAAAATACGGATTCTGAACCTGCAGCATTAAACTGGAAATATTGGTGTTTAGTTTTTAATGCCAGTATAATTGTACAAGTAAGTTGCTGTATTTTTTTGTCCAGTTTTGTCTTACAAGTTGCATGACTTGTAACTGGACCGTACAGTTGACACTGTTAACTTCTTCTTCTTCTTTATAATAAACAATCTAGTGTCAAGTTAGTGTGTGCAAGGAAATGATAAATGCAAAAAGACCAGAAGTTAATTAAATTACTCCAAAGAAGCCTTACTTAAGAGACATTAACTTTTTAGGTGACTATTTTAAAAATAATATATAAGTTCATTCCAAGATGGTACACAAGATTGTTTCCTTAAAATGTTTGGGATGTTACCAATCATGTCTTCTGAAGTGATCCACCATGCTCAAACAAGAAGCGTTAAAATTAACAGTTTCCTAATTTCAAGGGAAAAAATGCTTCTCATGTCCAATGTTGGTAAACTTCATGTTAAGCTCCTCATCATCAGGTTGCCAAGTATATTCTGAGATAACGGTAGCCAAAAATTATTTTCGGGCTTAGGGTTTGAAAGCTGTCTGGTAGCTGTTATAATTTTGGTCAGTAACTTATCTATCTTGTAACTTTGTGGAAAAAGAAAAGAAAGGAACCATTGTGAAATAACCTGTTCCTTCAAAAAAGACATGAAAAGATAAAATACTGTCCTGAAAAAGTGATACTCTTGGATTAATAGCCTTAAAAATATGGCACTGGTAAATAATTCTGATTGTTTGATTTTAGTTTGCACTGAATATTTATATACTTCCTTAACTGTAAATATTTTTCTTCCTGGTGCAAATTATTTGAATTAGTTTTGGATATTTGGGCACTGCTTTGTATATTGCATACAATGTACATGAAAATAATGAACTAGAGGTTTTTAATGAGATACCTTTAACCTAGATGTATTCTTAAAACCATGCTTTCACTTTTATGCTGGATAAAACATGGCATTATCTGTGACAGGCCAAACTGTAACAACTACCACTTTGTCCTAGTTGCTAGATGTGATGTTATAACAGGAATGTTGTAACAAACACCTCTTAAAAGATCTTTTTTAAAAGAAGTGCAAGTGTAGGTCATATCTTCCAAAAAAAAAAAACACGTCTCAGCTCCACACTGATCTGCACCCTGCCATGCAAATACATGTAGGCCACCTTTAAATATAAGTTGGTTTTTGTTCCCACATTTTACCATGCACATGCCAGTATATTAGGCTAGAGCTCACCTCTGCCTTTAAGGCCCAACTCCAACACAATATTTCTCGATTATTTCATGAATTTCGTCACACATTTTGTATCTCACAGCGGCCATGTAATGTCTATTTTATTATTTATTTTGTCTGAACACCAATGAAACACCAAACCATTTCACTTCAAAAAGGCACCATATTATGTAACCATAGCAACAGTGATCTTTTCACATTTCGTGTGAAAAGTTGTCATGTTTCCACTCTAAAGGTCACCTGGTATATCACTGATGTTTATATAATGAAAATTTTTATTTGTCTTACTTGGCTTATATGCCTGTTAACAAGAGAGACCAACTCAAATCATCTTTACCTGAATCTCATGAGCTCCAAGTGTAATTATGGCAGCGCAAACAGAAACAGGCTGATACTACTGTAGCTTAATTGCTTAATTAAAGACTTTTAACCCACTGCAGGTTCAGAAATAGTAAAGTCGGTCTTATTGAATTAACACCTGAAGAAGGTAACTCCTTCATTTTTTCAGTTTCATTTATCATTGATGGATAAGGATATTATTATTACAGTTACCATGTAACTAGAGAGGGTACAAATGGTACAAAGTTGAAGAAAATGGGTTTAACATGCGATGAGAGTGAGACAATAAAATTATCAGAGTTGACAGACTCAGTTTTATTGTGACGAAGTTGTTTTTGTAAATTTCTTAATTATTCTGGTTAAATCGTTGCCATGGTAACCATGACATTCCATGTGTTGCAACAAGGAGCTTCATGTAATATGTGCCATCTTTGTGTATCCAGTGGTTTTGTTCAGTGCGATGTAGCAAAATTCATCGTATTTCAACAAAACTGTCAGTATTGCAGGATAACCTACCCCGTAATCATTTGAATGCTTTATGTTGTTCTAAGTAACGGGAACAAATTCTCTAAATATCACCCCTGATTTCATTTCTCCATTTCTTTGACATTACTACAGTACTCAATTTGAGGTTGGATGTGAAACTGGGCTGGTATTGGAATAAGAGAAGACTCTGGGGATAAGGTTGGGTTCGGCAATGTTTCAAAATTTAATAGACTGTTCACCGTCCCTATTTTCAGTCTCGCTTGCGTAAGCAGCGAGACTCATAATCTGCAAGCCGTTTTTCTTCGTATTAGGATACAAAAGTGCGGTTGGGGGCCCAGGCGTTCCTAGCGGAGACCGTAGAAACTGGAAATAAGAATCGTTGCGTGACCGAACTGTGGCATTTCTTGCGAAGAAAGCTTAGGAAAGATTAATAAATGAGATTTAGAGCTTTTCCGGAACGGGTCGGTCCACGAATTCTTTCGCGTGAAAGAGTTGATAACTTTGGAACAAGTAAACCCTTCAGTGGTCCAAAAAAAGGAAGAATCAGCAAAGGCTTACTGGTCATCTACATCCGCTGGCCTTCATTTACCTCATTAACCTTCATCTTCCCCCATTAGCCGTCATTTACCTTCATCTACTTCCACTAGCCTTCATTTCCCTACACGCACCTTCATTTATTTCTATTAGCCTTCACTTACCTTCATCTACCCCACTAGCCTTCACTCACCTTCATCTACCTTCACTAACCTTCATTTACCTTTATCCACCTTTATCTACCTCCATTTTACCTTCATTTACCTTCACCCACTTTCCGGCATCTACCCTCCCTAGCCTTCATGTACCGTCATTCACCTTCAGCTACCTTCATCTACCTCCACTACCCTTCATTTACCTTTATCCAAGGTTTGTGGACAGGAGGCAGAGGAAGGTGGATGGAGGCTAATGGAGGTAGATAGAGGTGGATGAGAAGGTAAATAAAGGCAAATGAAGGCTAATGGAGGAAGATGAGGGTAAATGAAGGGTATGTCGGAAGACGAGGGGTGGATTGGGGGTGGATTAAGTATGTATTAGATTATACCAGGAGCTGGTATTCCAGAATGAGGTCTAAACGCAGACTGATTTCGAGGGAGAAACCTTCTGCAAGGAAAAACCTGGGGGAAAATTCGTACCTGGAAAATAATATTTTTCGTGGCGCATAATTCTGGAGCAAATCGTACACCTTTGTATGTCAGGGGGAAAGTTCTATCACCGGAGGTTTGGGAAAAAAATTTTCACCAAAACCAAATCAGTGCTGCAGTTTATGTTGTAAGCACCCTGAAAGTGCACAATCCTTTGTTTTCTGTTGGCAAATTGTTACGGAATAAATTAATGCAACGTTTTTATTGGTCAATACAATCAAAATGATAGGAATTCTTTTGAACGTTGTGCACTTTCAGGTCCACAAAAACATATAACAAAGGAGTCTGACGGGTTTCATAACCATTCCACTCAATTAACTATGATTTCAGCAGACAAAGGCCTGGTAAAACAAAGGCCTCACTTAAACTGTATTTTACTTTCTAACGTTTACAGTTTTGAATTTCCATAAAACATAAGCGCTAACTTGCTCCAATTTACCAACAAAGCTTCAAGCTATTTAAAAGAAGTGAAAGCCTAGAATGTGCCAAAGTTTAACTTTTTTGAGTTGAGAGCCATCCTTTTCTATAGCAGAATCTATTGTAAACCTCTTAAATTATGTAACAATTCGCGAAGATCAGGATAGGCACATTCCACAAAAGATAACCGAATTCGCTTCGTTGGCCCAACGACAGTTTCCTCCTAATTGCATTGAAGACTCTTTTTAGGCTATCCGGAGTACTTTTAGATCTCCGGAAATGTATTCTAAGTGACGCTAAAAAATTTATATCTGTTCGGTCATCCTAGGGCAACTTTAGTCTTCTCGAAACTACAAGGGATTCAGTATCATTTTCCCGAAAATTTTAGCTGCAATTAAAAGTTTTACGAAAATGAGAATTTTTTTCTGATTCCTCTCTGCATCGCATTTTCGATTCCGGAAATTTTGGGCCCCTTTCTTTACGAAACGGAAAAATAGTTTAACCTGGTGAGTGAAATAGGAAAAATTAAACTAGGGAATTTATTAGGTAAGCTTCGAAAATTGTACATTTAGAAATTCTTAGCCTTCCTGAGACTATAGACAATTCTAGACAATTTTTGCTTCTCCGAACAGATATTTCACAGAAAACGGTCGTTGGGTACCCCTGACTTGCCGGAAGGTACCCCTAGTTGATTTGAATTTAATACTTATATTGTTATTGATTTAATTTTAATGTGTTACCATTTTGAGTGTCGTGCCCCGGGGGGGACTCCGCATATGAAAGGGGTGGGGATGCTCGTCGTCTCGCTTAGGGGTGTAAATTTCGGATTTTGGTCTCACTTAGGGTTTTCTGGGGAAAACGCCATCATATTTAGCCGTGGTCTCGTTTAGAGTTGGACGCGAAAAAATATATAAGCATATATTTGATATGTATATTTTTAATTCGTTTTATTTACTCCATTCATATAATCCAAGTGTCTGTGTTTTAACATGGCCTCTTTTAGGGGTCAAAAAAAAGCTTGGGCCACGCCCAGATTGGTCTCCTTTAGGGGTTTAATTCAAAATTTCCGACGAGCATCCCCACGCCTTCATATGCGGAGTCCCCCCTCCCCCTTCAGGGTCAACTAGAAAGAGGAGCTAAATGCTTTTCTACTAAAAACAAAGCTTTAACACCGTATTATTAAGCATTTTAGGGAAAATTAAAACAAACTAGGCAGTGCTCTTGATTGGTAACCATCCTTTTAAGAAACCATACAACATGTAGCCTGAATTTCATCCGATTACTTCGAGTCGTTATTACTCCCTCGTTGAGAGGAGAAAATGACTCGAAGCAATCGGATGAATTTCAGGCTATCCAACATGCAACGGTGAAAATACGAATTAAACGTCAAAACTTCACTTTGTACTATTAATTTAATATACATTGAACTTCATACATGTTGTTTGGGATACTTATATTATACCAAGACATTTCTGATGGTTCTTGTTGACCAAAATAATGATTCTTATTTAAACTGTGGGTAAACCTTGTTATATCCGTGGCAAATTATTATTTTACAGAGACATTGTCTGGCTCCAACTTTCAGTCTAGTTACAGCTATAAAGAAGAGCCAACTCTGTGGCCACTCAAATGAATCTCTTTTAAGGCTATTTTTGCAAAGAACTTACGTTTTGCAGTAATATTTCCCAAAGTAAAATTAGAGTTTTTATTAAAATTGACTGCTGAAACTCTTGGGGCCTGAAATATTTTGACATTAATACTGCCATAAGGAATAAATTTAGGATTAAACTTGTGAAAAAGAAATCACTTTTGTTTTTCAAGGAAAAAAAATAACTCTTACAAAAATAAATAAATAACTCTCAATCAAAGCATTTTAAAGATCAGTAAAACAGTTTACCGGCTGACATAGCAGCTATTTGCTGATAACAATCTGTGTCTTTTTTTCTATGAGCTCCAATATTAATTACAATATTATTACTATCAAATTTGATTTGATTAAAATCATCCACAGACATTTCTCAGTTTTATTGAAATGTTCCTAAATCTATAGTTTAATACTATAATCATAGGAGTAACAATAGATAAATATTTGATATTTGTGGTTCTTTGCAAGTACTCAATCTATTAGTGACTATAAAAAAAATGTAATGCTAAGATAAAATGGGAGGTTGTCTCACTTCCAAGATATCTGCCAAGAAAAAAAATTCAGATTAATACAGGGTAAACTGACAAATCAAGTTTTTTACATGTACATCATGGCCTACATTTTTTTAAATAAGCGCTTTGAAAAATAACAAACCAACTTTTTTCTTCATTCGATAAAAAATATCGGAGACGAAGTAAAATTTCTCTTCTAATAAAGACTCCTTCTCCTCCGTACTTCAGATGAGTAGGTAGGCAGTCTCTGTTCTGAGTTGTTACAATATGCATTGAAGTCAGAGACAAATCCACCACGGAGGGACATGGGGATTACCATCCCCCCCCACCCCACCCCCCCCCACCCCAAGCACTCATCAGAACATAGATTATTTTCTAATATTTGTCTAAGTGCTTGAAAGCGAAATTGCTAATACAAAGGATCACATGTTTATTCAACTTGCAGATAACTTTGAATCTAACTGTAAGATATGCATATTAAGCACAGGCCTGTTCTGATGACGTTTACTTGTCTTTGTAAATAAGAATGGGGAGGAAGAGTAAACTTTTGACTAGTTTGGATCACCCAAAGTGTAATTAGGTAAGAAAACAATTTTGTTTGCTTTTAAATAACTCTAACACATGATAATCTGAAAACCACTGTCAGTAGGTATTGTATGAATCACGCAGTACATAGATGTTTTATGATTCATTCTAACTTTGCCTATAAAATATTATTGATATAATTTGTCATTATGAAATTTTATGTATGGGAGAATGTCATCTTTAATTTTTACTAAGACTGTGCCTTTCCTAGCTAAATATTTGACAAAGTGACACCCAAATGTACATATTTACCTAGGGTGCTTAACATTAATCAGAACTGACCAGCCCACTGATAAAGAAAATTCCACTGTTAGTTAGAACTGTCCAGCCTCTATTAGATTCTCATGATACTATGCACAGCATGTCATCAAGTTTTTAGCGAAAACTCTTAAAAAGGCTTTGTCTTTTTCAAGATGACTTGTCTGGTTGGGTAGTTCTGTCTTATGGTATGCATCCCTAAACTGTTGACAAGTACTTGGTGATAGCTTCTGAACTCACCTTTCATAATTTTGTTCCATGGGAGGGTAACATAGGTTAGGTAAGCAGATAGTGCAAGACTGCTTAAAGGTTTTTTTCTGTGTGATAACAAAATATATAATTATATTATTCAGTCCCAAAAATCAGTAAAAAGGTTAAGAAAGTAGGAAAGAATATTATTATAAAATAACGCACCTGAATTTCATCCAGTGTTGTGAAGATGACAATCCTGATGATAAATAAAAACAAGACAGGAATTTCAATACTCTATTATCAATAAACATTATCATTATTATTATTATTTCTATTATTTTTCAAAACTAAACTCTTGTAACAACTTTTGACATTCAACAACTTTTTATCCCTGATAATGACGTTGGAAACATTGAAATGTCAAATAAGATTACTCTTAATTTTTCTTGTTAATGTTGGCTTCATTAAAAAAATTACTACAGGATTGCCTGAAAGATTATAAGTAAGTTGGATAAGACAGGGTGAATGTAATGCTGACCACAAGAGTTGGCATAGTCAAGAGAATAGAGCAGAATAGAGCAGCATTTTTCTGCTTAAGATAACAAATAAATTTGAATGTCCATTGATTACCTAAAACTGCAGTCTAAGTAACTTCATTTAAAGGACTGATCCATAGTTTCAGTAAACAAAGTCTAAAATCATTGGACCTTAAGATTTGTTTTCTAACCTGGGCTATAAGCCTTCTTGATGCTGTTTAAAGCAAAAAACGTTTCGATATCATGCTTGGCAAGCATTGAAAACTGCATTGAAGTTGGTTAAAATAAATAATGTTTCTGTTTTAAAAATAAGAACCTTTCTTCCTTTTGTCTGAACTGCAATCAGGGTTTCTTTTTATGCCATCACAACTCCTTGTCCATCTGGGGTCAACACCTTTTATTTCGACCCCACAATAGCATTTTTCATCTGGAATTTCAGGCACGTCTGTCTGAGTCGGTGAAGATGATGCTGCCATTCTCTCTCCACAGGCAGCACATGTTCTCCTGCAAACAAACAAAATCACATCAATCAGTGGGTGAGGGCACTTGTATAACATAGCTGATCAAAAGTTCTTTCATTTTGATGTACACTGTCTATCAGGCCACATTACTATTATATCATTGTTAACACTGTCCTGGCTGTCTGCTAAGGCATGATAAGTCTGTTAAGGTTAATTTCCAAGCACTTCTTCAACTACCATAAATTTTGCATATGATAACCAACTTAGAATGGAGTGACAACTAAATTTGTCTTAAAGTTCATGTCAGTAATACATTTATGGTTTGAGCATTACTGTACCAGTCATTATTTTCCATTTCTTCTAAGCTAGTCCTATCATCCACAGTCCTCTGTTGAGTGATTGCCATCTCTGCATGTCCTTTACCACCAGGGCCTTTCATCTTAATAAATTCCACATTAGCAGGCCCTCTCCACCACCCCAATGATACTTTGCGGGCAACTTTACTGGCTACACTGGCCTAAATAGAGACAGAAAATTAATTTTTTACAACTAAAACTGAACATTAGCCCTAAGCAAATATAAACAAAAGTAACCAAAAATTAGGGCCTGTTTACATGGAGGTGGGGGACCCCAGGTAGGTGAGGTAACCAGCTTTGGTGGATAACCCGCCTGTCCACATAATCTCTCATTTTAATTTGATGACGCTTACATGATAGGTGGGGTGACCCGCCGCATGTTACCTCACATGTCTGGGGTCCCCCACCCCCATGTAAACAGGTCCTTAATGTACAGTTGAACCCCCATTAAGCGGCCACCCCCCCCCCCCCCCAGTACCAGTAAGTGGCTGCTTAACTGAGGTTGGCCACACAATAGAGGTTTGTCATAAATTAGCATAATCTTTAGCAGAAACATTACTTTAGTTTGAAACAAATATGCAATGAGAGGAACATCACTGCTCCACAATTGGTCATCACCTTCTAAGACTTTATTTTTATTCATCATATATTACAATGAAGCCAAACTAAGTGTATCAAGCGCTTTATGGCCGCCTAATGGAGGTGAAAATAATGGAAAAACTGCTTGTTGGGATGGCCAAAAGGATGGCTGCAGCCGCTTAATTGAGGTTTAATTCCCCATTCTTTCCTACTATTATTTTGGGACTTTGGTTACTTGCTGGTTAATAGACAGTGGCTGCTTAATACATGGTTGCTTAATGGAGGCCTAGGTTCAACCGTACTTCTAATTTTTGAGTCTCTTTGAGTTTTCGTGACCATTCGAATGAATCTCTTTAGTAATACTTTTGTAGGTATGTTACTGGTCAAGATTCACATAAAGTTTTTAACCTAACCTTGGTTGATTCTCAATTTCCTTTGTCTCTTAGCCCTAATTCATGATTAATTAGGGATAGGAGACGAGAGAAACTGAGAATCAACCAAGGTTAAAAAATTTATCTGAATTTAATTTTGACCTCTAACATGTACAACTCCCAAAACTTGATCAACAGTACTGGTACAACTCCCACAAACAGTACAAACTCCACAACTTCCATAACAAACACAACTCCCACTTTTAATCTTTTCTGGTTGCTTAAGAAATTTAAAGGACTTTTGCTTGTAACCTTCTTTGTGATTACCCTGGGGCCAAGTTTAGTTATTGCTTTCAGACTATAAAACAATGGCTAAATTAAAGGACACAATACAAACTTCTCTTGATGAAACAGATTACTCTATTTTAATATTTAAAATTTTTCCATTTATCAGAATATGAACACCATGTAGTAACAATAATACACTGTAGCCTGGCAAGAAAGTGAATGCATTCAAGGAGAACATCACCACACTATATCCAGTGAGTGAGTGAGTGTACTTACTCGACTATCATAAACCTTCTTGAGTGACTCATATCTTATTGATCCTAAGAAGATGACTCCTTCAACTGATTCAGTCTATAGAGAGAAAAACTCCATCCCATTATATAAAACTATTGAATGAGGTAATTTTTTTAGCCACATTAGATGGGACTGCCACGTCAGGAAAGTTTTCAATTACAGAATGATACGACGGAATGTATAAGAAAGGGATGCAAGAGATGCTTTAATTAGCGGCAAGTCAGAAATAAAGGTACAGGTTTGGGTCCTGGGGTCATATGCAGTTTTTTAAAAAAACTTCATAATTATGATCTCCTATTTATAATGGTGCCAGTGACAGTGGAGTAACAGTGCAATGGACTTGCATCCCATCCTAGGAGAGAGGAGATAGTGATACTCCACAGCACCTTAAATATTTCCCAGAAACTAGGTTAGGCTCTACTCATGTGGGTGCCATGCATGTGTCTCTGACATACATGTAAATTAAAGGATTTGAGTGATTTAAGATGTTTAAATGGAAATTGACACAGTTAACAATAGTAGCAATAGTCTTGTCAGTAGCATAAATTTCTTAAGCTTTTGTCCACTTGCAGCTTGGGTGTCAAACTAAAAGTGGGGACACGTACATTGTAAAGGCGATTTTCGCACCTTATCTTTGGCTACTAACTCCACACACACCATTTCATTCTCTTGAAGTGCAAAGTCTTTGAATGTCTGAAAAGGAAGAAGCCATACTAAGTGAAAATTAGTATTTGGAGTTTATTAAAGTCAAACCAGATGTTCTTTTGATGGCAGCCTTGCAACCCTCCATAGCAATGCTGGTGATCAGTCATCAATTATTGACAGTTTGCATGGAGCAATTTCCCAGTTGCCTTTGAATTTGCTTTGTGTCAATTGAGAATTTTCTTACTGGTGTTCTTGGCAGTCAAAGATAGCTCAGAATTTTACCTTGTTAAATCAATAGTGCTGTCACTTAAACGAAGAAATAGCTAGGCCAAATCTGATTTAAGGAAATTTTAGAAAACATGAAGATAATAAACAGAAGGAAACCAAATAAACAGCATATCTACACTGTTTTTTTCCTGCACAAAAAGGTTCCTAAATCCTATTCAAGAGGGTAAGTAATATACTTAAAACAGGTTTAAAAACTTACTTCTTCAAAATTGTCTAAAATAAAAAATATGTTTGGATAAGAAATTTCAGCAGAACTCCCTTTGGTGTCCATTCTGAAAAAGAAGTGAAAAGAATTGAGATTTAAAAAAAGAAATTCACAACTACCCAATTGTCATTTGATTATGATGTAGGTCAAAATAAATTTATGTTAATACTCAGTTTCCTTTGTATCCTACACTTTATTTGACATATTATTCAAGATAATGAAAATAACTAGCTAAAGTATTTTGAGAAATAACACATGAAAACCAAAGAACTCATTAATTTAAAAAATTGTGAAATTATTTTGGCAGTCATGATTGACTTAATACACAACTCCATAAACATACTGGTTACAAGCTGTTAACAAAAAAATAATTGTGACCACATTAAGTTGTACGCTAACCTCCGTCTGTTTGGTGACGCATACACTTTCTGTGAAGATACAATTTTTAGCACAATAATATTAATAGCATCACATTACCCATATACATACTGTATAAAATGCTAAAAATCTAAGTACATTGGTTTGGACTTAATACAGTAGAAAATAGAAAATTCATTATATCTAATAACTATGGTTAAACAAGTTTGCAATGTCATTGGTAACCAACAACGATTCCAATCTTTCTGCTTAAAGCACTCAAAAAATGATGACACTCCCCAATCATATAGTGGCTTACGAGAGCCCATTCTTGCAAATGGCCAGCTGTAGTTGCAAACACCTATTTCACCTATTTTCTAAAGGTTGCTTACAATAGTTTATTTTTAGGAGGGATAAGGTACTTTTTGAAAGACATCAGATTTTGTGATACCAGCATTAGTTTCAATCCTCAGATATTAGCAAATTATACTGACCTGTGATATTCTGCCCAAAACTCTCATCTCTTTCTCTTGAGGTTTTGTGCAAACTGCACATGTCAGAGTATATTCAAACTGAGGAAAAAAACAGAATAACATTAGAGCACATACTTCATATGATGGTCCCACAATTTGATGAAAATGTATGAGGTTACACTAATAGTCCTGATTGATACCAGTGGTTATGAACTGTTTAAGCCATGTATATTTACCCGGTGAGCAGTGGCTTCTCCAAGCCAGACGCTACGCTACAAAGAGAGAGAAGTCACTCAGTGTTCCAGATAAGAGAAGGGTCTCAGGTCAATGACCCGACAAAAAAGGCTTCTTGACCCAACAAACGACATATAAGTATTAAGTTAAATATCGTGAAAAATAATTAGCACGTAGTCTTGATGACCCCTCATATCATCTTCATGACCCTTTGCTCGATAGAATTAACTGGAACACTGGCACTGCGAGCAAAAGTTCCCTTTCCCATCAACTATGAGCTTGCATGTGACACCTATGTCAAAACGCCTAATGACATCACTTTCTCTTGTTTTGTGAGTAACACTAGGGGACTTTTAGATCCAGTGACATAACAGCAATGAGAATGTCAAAAAAACCCTATAGGTTTAATAAGAAACACAACAACTTTGCACTCACACCACACTTTTTTGGTACATTTCTTTGCCATTTTTGTGGAACTACGACGTGAAAATGCCTAATTATGCATTTTATGGAGAACGTAAACAAGCAACATCAAAATCTTATTTCTCTTTGTGAGCCTGGATGTGGTTCCTAAGAATTCAACTCCACTTTGGTTCACCTACAGTCAACAAAGTACCGGTTGAACTGTTTTTGCATTCCATCTCTGATTGGCTTTGATCCACTGGGACATCGACTATTAAATTTTCATGTTAATCAGCTAATGCTGGAGGTTTGTTATTATCTCCTTATTTTTACTGACGTCAGTGACTGATGCGGTTGAGGCAACCAAGCAAATTATGGACTGTCGACGACACACAAAATGGTGACCTTGTTCCCAGGGTTGGTTGTGAGGACTGCATTGCATTCTTAAGCAAATTCACAGCTGGCTCTTGTTAAGGCAGCAGTTATAAGCACAAGCAAATGTGCGAGAGCCTTAACTTGTTTTTAAACAGGCTTGACTTGATCAAAGTTAATTTATTCGTCCATGGCGCTGGATGGCGGATGATCAAAGAGGCAAACAGTTGCTTACAGTGGTTTCTCTCCCTTAAAAGTGTAGCATCCAACCAGAAACCACTGCTTGCAGTGTATTATGTGTATTATGGCGTTAAATAAAACTTAATGTAGTTAACAACAAGAAACAAAGAGCTGCATCTCATGTTGTTTCTCATCAGTCAATTTGGTAGCACAAATGCAGCCAGCCTTGCTTGCATAGACACCATGTGCTTGTTAAAGCACTTCCTAATAGCCACTGGGCTTTGTTCAGCTTTTGGATCTTGAATACTTTTTCCACCGATTAGTCACTGTGTGATACTGCCTGGTTCTTTTAGTGGGTAGGAGTGGATATCATGGCCGGGAGGTGTAGATTTACAAGCCTTGAGGGTGTGACTCTATGTAGGGGCTGCCGGTGACAAAGTGGAAGCAGCTGAATATCCCAGCCACATGTACATACCGTCCCAAATCAACACAGTTGTTAGTTGCAGGGTTACCTCAGACTCAGTTTACAACAGTATTGATGAAAGTTATATGTAAACCCATAAAGAAGTTTGAATTTCAACATCTGAATAGAGTAAGTAACCCCAAAACAGAGTATGGATCTCCTGTGCAGTTATTAGTGGAACTTACTTGATGTAAAATTAAGTTGAGATAAACAGACTCCTCCCAGTCAATGCTTGGATCACCCAGACTAAAACAAAACAATTCAATGATAATACTAAAGAAAAAAACCTAACATAAGTTGTCTGAAACAATTCTCTGATAGACTTGCTAACTAAAACATGTTCGCACACAAAAGAAAAAGTACAAAAGGTACAGGCCAAACTATTAATACGATTTACATTGTGTCAGATTTGTTATTGAATACCAGAAGGTTAGGGTTGTATTTAAGCTTGCTGGGAAGCAAAAACAGGAAAAGAATGAAGAAAATGACACTCACCTTGGAACAACTTTGGAGTCTTTTCTGAACACTGCAATTTTAGACTTTAGGTGAAAAAAAGCAGAGTTACTTTCTTATTATTCAGTTTAAATCACACTTCATTATGTATCTACTTTTAGTAATTTCATAAAATAAGAAGGGAAGACGAAATTAAATAGCCCTGGGGGGAAGAATGTGGTGGTCTGAGGAGGAATGCTTTGGTGCATAGCTTTCAAGCTTCCTTCCTCTGTTGTTGTTGTTGTTGTTGTTATCCTTAAGCGAACTGGGTGATTATGTCAACTTTTAAGTCATACACATATGACCATTCAGTGAAGATAGTTATTGGAATGGGGCAATTACCGTTGAAACAGGCATTTTTGTAACCAGGCAGCTTGATCTGCTTAAGACTGCATTGAGAAAGCCCCATTGCATTCTTTCTACATGTAACAAAAACCATTACTGCAAGTGACCAGTTTTAGCTGCAGACTTGAAAGTCCTCTAGATTAACCTCCTTGCTACCTTCCGCCTTACTAATGTCCTCAGACATGGCAGATTACCCTAAACTGAGTCCTAACGCTGACTACTACTAGTAGTTTATTTATTTATTTATTTACCAGCTTTTCTGGACACAGGCCTGCCCAGAGAGAATGTGCACGAACAGGACTCATAGGTCCCATGCAAGGTGCCATCCATGCCCAATCCCAAAACCCGTAAAGGTTGGCCACACCACCGGGGTCTACAACCCCTACTCTTTTTGAATAGCGATGTAGGTTCATTTACGTCCCACAAGAACAAATCAGTGAAAGTGCTGTGAGATGGGACCGACGGTTTTTCGTCCTAAATTGCTTCGGTCTGAGAGCCCAAAACATTCAAGGGTTTCCTCTGTGGCTATCCAGTTTTTTATGTACTAAGTACATGACACTGGCATATGAAACACAAATTATATGACATACTCAGTATGTCACACAGGCAGTTAATGGGTTAATTATGCAATTGCACAGTTCCAACAAAATGTTTCATAAAGAGAAAGACAATAATATTATTTCATTGTTATGACTGACATTTGCATGACAAAAATTGAAAAATTAGCCCCTTGAATACATGCCCTCAGTGGGCTGCACATGAGCTCAGGGTTCAAGCTTGTTCTTCATTTATTAATCTGTAATAGAAATATCCAGATTCTTCTATGTAACGAGAGCCTTCTGATGATGCAAAGCTGTATCAATGTTTAACATTAAAAGCCCTCTATACAGTACTGTAGTTGTAAATTTTTAACCAAAACTAGCAAGTGCCAAGGAGTTTACCTCTGCATCTTTAGTAACTTTTCCATCTTTATTTGCACTCTTCCCTTTTACATAGAATAGGAGGTCATCCCTTGTTTCATCATCACTACAAATGAAGTACTGAGAGAACAGCCTGGTCCAGAATGATTCAATTGCCAGTACAATAAAACCCTCTATAAAAAGCATCACAAAAATATAGATAAATTATCAGTAAATCCTTTAATGTGTTTGGGTATCAGTACATTTCAAAATAAGGATGACACTGTAAAGTAAGGACATCATGGCCACACATGAAACTAGCATTGTTATTTACACTAAACCATATGAACAGTCTAAGCAATCCCAGCCGGGGAGAGGCTGACCAAAGGGATAGAAAGCCATAGAAAGAGAATATTGAACAGAGCAGAAGATGGCAACTTCAACTCTGGTTTAAGATTACACCATGCCTCCTCCTCCATTAAGCAAACATTAAGATACATTAAACCAAAATGTTTGGAAACATTTAATTTTGCCTGTTTTAGGTTGGACAAACAATGAATGTTATTGATTTTGTAAAAAATTCGAAAAATTTTTGGATCCTGTCATGCTATGACAGTGAAGGTGAGCTAGCTCAATCAATAAATCAATCACTTAATATACTTTATTTTAAGAGGGTAGCACATGACGGTAGTGAAACTGATGACCCTGTAGCTACATGCAGTGGAGACGTGGTATGCCGCTAACCAAAAAAAAAAGGGGGTGTTCCAAAATTTTTGGGCATCTAAAATAGATTGTTTAATACAGTGGAGACACACTGGCCAGAAAGGTTTTTCCAAATGGGCACTTTACAGCTAGTCATTCAAGTGGTGCAAAACTGCTATACTGGAGAGCAAGGAACACCCTGGGACAAAACAAACAAAAGGGCGTACATCATTCAAAATGTTAATTTCCTTTGTTTGTCTCCTCTGATCTCTCCTGCTCTCCAGCATGGTGGTTTTATACCACACAAATGGGCTAGCTGCGAAGGACCTATAAGACAGCACTTCTGTATTTCCCACACTTAAATGGCACAAAAAGGGTTGGGACCTTTAACAATAATATTCATGATCAAGACCCTGCATGTACACTTAGCATGCAAGAGCTGTTCTTCAAACTGAAGAAAGAAAAGGTAAAACTCAATGTCTAATATGTATTTACAGCTGTACTTCTGGTGCCGACTGAGCACTTAAAAGAATACCCAGGGTGTTGGATTATTAAGTTTACTTGCACCTTTCATAATCTTTCTTGTAAAAATTTAATTGTTTTCAAAGTTGCTCCATCGATCCCTCGACAGCCTTCAATTTTAATTCAGTTACTAATCAAATTTTGCTAATAGCTCGCTTTTTTGCATGCGAAAATCTACATATTCTCTTTTCATTTTAAGTAAGAAACACCATGTAATCGCAAAGAATAAGACAGCTGTATTAACTAATAACACTTCGGATCAATCATACCCACATTCACACACATTACTTTCATATGACCTAGTCGTCAATTCAGTTGACAGATTGCTCGAATCGAATTAGCAAAATTCAGGGATTGGCCGTCCTTAAAAAATGCCCGTGTTGGTCTCCAGGCCTTGAATTTACCTTCACTTTCTTTATCGAGATTCTCTCTTCTTCTCTCGCGACAGATACTCTCTAAAACTTTGGTGATACTGTTGCCTGACTGTGCCGCCGCCATATTAATTTTTTTTCTGATCACGTGATAAATAAAACATAAGTGGTCTTTACATGAAGTATAAAGTAACCAGTGTTTTCGCGGCAACGAAATAACATACGTGTCGGAGCGCCTGGTAAATTTGGAACATTGGAACGTTGAAACATCCTGTAAATTCTTTCCCATTTTCTGGCAAAATGCTGCTATTTTACACGTCTACAGGGAGAAAAAAGAACTGGTAGAGATTTTTACGGATTTCATGAAGCAGGTTGTAGCTATTTATTTGACGTCTGGCGGGGAAAGTGATATGACGTAGTTTCAGCTCGATGTCGATGCTTTAATTGTGAACTGGACGTTACCAAATGGAGAAGAAATCTAGATTTGAACTCATTAAAATTGTAGAAGCCCAGAAAGAGCAACTAACTCGGTATGAAACAAGGCTCAGAGGTAAGAGAATTTCTTACTTTACGCGCTTATGTTTTATGTTTTTTTCAGGAAAAGACAAACTTGAACTAGTACTTCGACTCATTCTTCTAAACGGTTGGTTCAGCTCTGAATTGAGGACTGCCACCTATCTCGGGTTGACATTTGAACAGTCAAAGAAAGCAGCATTGTTAAAATAATCAACATATTCTCATCTGGTCAATAGCTCCCAGGGCTGTCACTAAGGACCTTCCCTAATTCCCTGCCTACTTATTGGATTTATCCACTAACTAAATGACAGCCCTGAGCTGAGCTCAGGAACTCTTTAAAGTTTTTTTAGCCGATGGATTGGGGTCTAAAGCTTTTTTAGCTAAGTTTGGGGTCCGTTTATCAGGCAGTTGTTCGAAGGCCGATTAGTGCTAACCCGGGGTTAAATTTTAATGCAGGTTTCTTTTTCTTTTGTTTAAAAGCATTTTCTCGGATAATTTTCTCTATTCCTTTTGGAACGTCCAGTCATCACATTGTTGACAAAAAGAATTAAACTGAATTTTCCTTTCAAGCTTTCATAACTGAATTCAAATTTCACCCTAACCCTAAGTTAACTTAACCCCGCTTTGAACAACCTGGCCCAGAATTACTGGTATACCTTTGAGAAACAGACAAAAAACCTGAAATCCAAACCTGACTGATAGTAGTATGGGTTCTAGCTCACAAACTGGTCCATTTTGTTTCATTAACAGATAGGTTTATTTTTAACTTCCAAAACTATTACAGTCAAACCGGGAAAACTGTGAACACCAGAAATATTTCTGGAATGTTATTGTGTCGCAAGAAAAAGCCAATTGCGTGTGAGAAACTAAACCGCAAGCAAGAATGTTAATTAGTTTGTGGTTTTGTGGCTAGTTTGCATGTCCTGATCTTTGTGTTTGGTCACAACACAATAAACAGTCCTGCAATATTGCAAGTGTTCACTGTTTTGCCAATTTGCCAGCAATAAAATTGACCTTGTAAGCATAAAACCGCTCTCCAGAGCCTAATATAACTAGGACATTCGAGAAGTGGGCGACAAAAGGATGATAATAAGGCAAAGAGTAAGGCCCTTCCTCTCCTTCTCTCTACACTGGATTTCTGTAGATGAGAGCTTTTTCACAGGCTAATAAACTACACAAAGTGAATAATCTTACCAAGGACCAAATGAAGTGTCCACAAGAGTGATGTTTCAAGAGTGATGTTTCAAGAGTGTTTTCTAATAGAGAGGTATCTACATAAGAGATTTAACTGCATATAATTGTAGTTGTTTCATTTGTTACATTGATTATTTAACAGATGTTGTCCATGCCTACAAGAATTTGTTGAGAGAGAAAGACGCCTTGGAAGCCAGTGTCAATGTCTTGACAACCTCCAGTAACCATGCGCCAAAAAGCCTTCAAAAGGAAGCAGCAGAATCAGAGGCTGATAATCATACTGGGGTGAATGGAAGGAATGAAAGCAAGAAAACAAATAAAGAAGAGGGTGCAAAAAACCCTTTGAAAGGAGAAAGTGTGGAAGGAAAAGAAGTTTTGGACCATCCATTAGCAGTGAAAGAAAATGAAGTGGAAGGTGAAGATCAGTCTCAGCTTGCTGGCAAGGTACAATGTATCTGTATAATTATGCAGCTTTAATGATAATAATTGATCAACAATAAGTATACAGATTACATAAAATGATTAATCTAGAGGCTAGTGGGAAAGCGTGCTGAGTGATTATTTTAATTATTAGTTTTTATGTTTTTGCAAGTCCAAAAAAATATCTTTTGGTTTTAATTAGCACAATCACCTTAACTAAGTGTCCATGTTGTAGGTAAAATTTGTTATTAGGTTAAATCAGTACTGCTTGTAACTTATTAGGGTTAGCTTTTTGTTACAGTTCTAAGTAAACAAATGACTACAGCCCTACAGCCCCTGTACTTACCAGACTGGATGATTTTAAATGTAGGTCATAAAAAACAGTGGGAGTCAAACTACGGTTAACTTTCTCTTTATGGACTGCCTTTCGATTCTTTACACCTTTTAGTTAACTCTCTACACAAGATGGACATCTCTCTCAGACGGACACTTGGCGCTGGTCCAGTAAAAATGCCTGACTTGGGAGAGTTGACTGTATTAAATATTATTTTCTCCTAACATTTCACCATCCTTTTCTATACACTAACTTACAATTAATCAAGTTATAATAGTAAACGATTAAGAGATGTCCTGTTACATTGTACGGTTTATTAAGTAACCTTTGGTTACCTCTTGACTGTAGGAAAACAATTCATCTTTACAAGCAGAGTTGGACACACAGCAGGAAAAGGTTGCGACTCTCAGTGCTTCACTTGCCACTGTAATGCAGCAGAAATCAAAGATGGAGGCCAGCTACCAGGCAGATAAAAAGAAAATGATGGTTGGTTTTTGTAATATTCCTTGATTTAGTAATTAAATATAGAAAGTTTTACAATGCAATCTTAAGACACAATTAATGGAGTGTGACTCAGTTTGTCAGGGTTTAAGGTCACACAACATTAGGATATCTCTGCTAGTTAGAATTACGAACTCCTCAAGATTGACAAGTATGAAAGTTAAGCTAAGTTTACCTAAGTTAACTTCACTTTAGGTTAAGTTGCACATTAATTTACGGCTTACACTTGCCATTGCAAATAACTTGTAGTATGTTAAATCACTGTCAAGTGTGGGAAATTACTAGACACAATAGAAGACATTAGCGTATGTTTCAATCTAGCTGGCTACATATGTATCACTTGCTCTTTATGGCTAGTTAAAATTATTTACATGTTTACCTCATGGAGCACCTCATGTGCTCCCTTTATTCAGTAGTACAACATTTATCATTGGCTGACCCTCAGACATTAAGCTAACTAAAGGTCTTGTTCAAAAAGTTTTTTGAAAATCCCACCCTTCCCTCCCTCTGGAGTTATTGTTTTTATCAATAAACGCCGGCTCACCACTCTTTATTCCCTTTCAGCTTAAGTCTTGCACGGACTTCCCCAAGCTTTGTTTTTTAGCGATTTTATTGCTACGTTCTTGAATTGCCATTATTCCAGCACATGTCAGCTCATAGGTCTGATATAAAGATAAAATGGCTTGAACAATATAATTGCCTACACTCATTCCATTAAGTTGCACATGTACAATGCTGGCCAGTGGTCTTAGCTCGTAGTACCGTGGAGAGTTAGGCTGTAAGATATATGTTTTGGACCTACCTAGAACTTGTCCAATCCGGCATAGATCTTTTAAAGTAACGCCGGGGAGATAAGTTAGGCTACATGGTCATGCTATGGAAGTCATCTGCCCTGCCAATTGCAGAGCGATGCTCCCCCCTTTATTCCATATGTCTTGTTGCTGTGTTTTTACTTAACCTTGTCTTTTAAAGCATAGTTAAGGAACTGCAACATTAAATGATGGCAAAAAAGAAGTATCATGCCTCTTAACCTAAGTACTAAGTAGCTTTTTCTTGTTTTATAGCAAGAACATGAAGTTAAAAACCAAGAACATGAACAAGAAATAGAGAAGTTGAAAAGTAACTTAGAGTCCCTGGAAGAACAACTTCAAGAGGTTTGTATTGAACCTTTAAATGATGTTACCACTAGTAAATGCAGGCATAACCACCAGTGCAAGCACAAGCACAAGGATCAAACTTTTTCCTTCAACTGTACTTGCAATCAGGTTGTAGGCTCTGCTCATCACCAATCACTTTCACACAGGTCTCCTACATGTATGCTTGCATGTATGCTAACTTGTAACACTAGTGAAAACCAGGTGTGCTTACCTTTTGTATAGAAAACTGGAGTGGCTCATGCGGGGAGTAATTCTTTTTTTGGTTTAATCGGAATTCCCACAAATTTCCGTACCATTTGGTTCACCATACCAGTGCAAGGCTATTTTGGAGAAGACAGCAAGGCCCAAGATGGCAGTTTGCGTGATGAATCTTTCTTTCCAAATGATTTCCGAAAGTGACAGTGGTTTATCCTCATCACCTCGCATGTGTACCAGAGGTGCAGGATTGTACGAGTTTCAGTCAGATTCAAAGGTCATGAGATTTTGGACTTTTTCAGACAAAGTTTCCTATTTATGTACATCTTAGAATGTTAATAATTAATATAAATCTGCCCACAAAATTTAAATAAAGACTTGAAATTTATCCACAGCTAAAGTTACGCATGCGACATGAACAGCAAGCCCGTGAGGAGGAACAGAACAATCATGTCCTGATGCTGCGTGAACTTCAAATGTTAGTGTCCACAGAGCGGTCTGCAAAAGAAGACCTAGAACAACAGCTGGAAGATGCAAAAGAACAGGTCCTACTGACTCAGAGATTACCTGGCAGCAAGACTGAAGAGTATCAATGTCAAATCTCCCAGCTGCAACTAGAGTTACAACAGGTTAAAAGAAGACTAAAAGAGGCAGAGAAAGTTGCTTCTCAACCTTCACCTCTGCTGGTTCAGTTGCAGAATGAGATGTCTAAGATGAAGAAAGAGCATTCTGAGGCTGTTGTTAAAGAGCAGAAGAGAGCTAATGAAGCTGAAGAACAGTTGAGGATCATCACAAGTTTGGAAGAGTGTAGGGTGGCAGACTTGGGTAGGTATCTAGTAGTAATCTCACTCTTCAGGTAGCTATAATGGTATGTATACACAGAGGATTATTCTACCTTGTGGGTGAAAGACCATCAGCTGTTGATAGTTGTACAGAGATTGTCTACAAAGTGACATGGGCTTGGTCTAAGAATTTCCACAAACTACGTCTGACATACCACATCAAACATCCGACATCAGACGTTTCACATACCACGTCAGACATCTGACATCACAAGTCAGACATCTGACATATCACATCAAACATCGGACATTAGTAATCTGACATCAGATGTCTGACATACCACATTGGACATCAGACATTTATTTTTCACTACGCTTATTGTCTTTGCCAGCTAGCTTAATATGGCAATGACCAACCTGGAAGCATTAACTACTTTGGTCATTGCGCACATCTTAATTCCTTAATTTCTTGTTATCTTTATTTCTGACATTGTTCTGCAAGGTACTTATACAAATTAAAGTTCCAATGCAATCAATATGTAAATAGTGCAAACACAATAAAATCAATAAAATTTAAACTCTAAAAAAATGACTGATGTGTTATGTCTGATGTGGTATGTGAGACATCTAATTTCTGATGTGGTATGTCAGACACATGATGTCCGATGTGGTATGTCAGACGTCTGAGATCAGATGTCTGATGTGGTACATCGAACGTACACTGCGGTGGGTCAGATGTCTGATGTGGTATGTCAGATGTCTGATATGGCATGTTGACCAGATGTCTGATGTGGTACGTCAGATGTCTGATATGGTATGTCAGACATCTGATATGGTGTGTCAGATGTCTGATGTGGCATGTTGACCAGAGGTCTGATGTGGTATGTCAGATGTCTGATATGGTATGTCAGACATCTGATGTGGTATATCAGACATCTGATATGGTGTGTCAGATGTCTGATGTGGCATGTTGACCAGAGGTCTGATGTGGTATGTCAGATGTCTGATATGGTATGTCAGATGTCTGATAAGGTATGTCAGACATCTGATGTGGTAGGTCAGACGTCTATTGTGGTATGTCAGATGTCTGATATGGTATGTCAGATGTCTGATGTGGTATGTCAGACATCTGATGTGGTATGTCAGACATGTGATATGGTATGTCAGACGTCTGATAAGGTATGGCAGGTGTCTGATGTGGTATATCAGACATCTGAAGTCCGGATGCCCAATGTGGTATATCAGACGTCTGATGTGGTATGTTAGATTCTGATATTGCATGTCAGACGTCTGATGTGTAGGTGGTATGTCAGATGTCTGATATGGTATGTCAGACCTCTGATAAGGTATGTCAGACATCTGATGTTGTATATCAGATGTCTGAAGTCAGATGCCCAATCTGGTATGTCAGACTTCTGATATATGTCAGACATCTGATGAGTATATGTGGTATGTCAGACATCTGATGTAATATGTCAGACATCTGATGACATATATCAGATGTCTGATGTGGTATAACAAACGTCTGATGTAGTATATCAGATATTGTATATCAGACGTCTGATGACGTATATCAGACGTCTGATGTGGTATAACAGACACCTGATATGGTATGTCAGACGTCTGATGTGGTATGTCAGAAGTCTAATATGGTATGTCACGCGTATGATGACGTATATCAGACGTCTGATGTGGTATAACAGACATCTAATATGGTATGTCAGACATCTGATATTGTATGTCAGACATCTGATGACATATATCAGACATCTGATGTGGTACGTCAAATGTCTGATATTGTATGTCAGACATCTGATGACGTATATCAGACGTTTGATGTGGTATAACAGACGTCTGATATTGTATGTCAGACATCTGATATTGTATGTCAGACGTCTAATGACATATATCAGACATCTGATGTGGTACGTCAAATGTCTGATATTGTATGTCAGACGTCTGATGACGTATATCAGACGTCTGATGTGGTATAACAGACGTCTGATATGGTATGTCAGACATCTGATATTGTATGTCAGACGTCTGATGACGTCTGATGTGGTATAACAGACATCTAATATGGTATGTCATACGTCTGATATTGTATGTCAAATGTCTGATATTGTATGTCAGACGTCTGATGATGTATGTCAGACGTTTGATGTGGTATAACAGACGTCTGATATGGTATGTCAGACATCTGATTTTGTATGTCAGATGTCTGATGACGTCTGATGTGGTATAACAGACATCTAATATGGTATGTCAGACATTTGATATTGTATGTCAGACGTCTGATGACATATATCAGACGTCCGATGTGGTATGTCAGATGACTGATATTGTATGTCAGATGTCTGATGACGTGTATCAGATGTTTTGATGTGGTATAACAGACCTCTGATATGGTATGTCAGACGTCTGATGTGGTATAACAGACGTGTGATATGGTATGTCAGATGTCTGATATTGTATGTCAGACGTCTGACATATATCACATGTCTGATGTGGTATGTCAGATGTCTGATATTGTATTTCAGACGTCTGATGAAATATATCAGACGTCTGATGTGGTATGTCAGATGTCTGATATTGTATGTCAGATGTCTGATGACGTATATCAGACGTCTGATTTGGTATGTCAGATGTCTGATACATTATGAGATATAATATGACATATGTTATGAGATTCCTTTTGTTTTAAGATGTTTTTGATTTATATAGTAGATAACTTAGGCTATATTTGAATTATATTATAGATATTATAATTTAGATTTTTTATATTCTATTTTGTAATTAGGTAGCGCTTTGGACAATTATTGGATTTTAGCGCTATATAAATAAAATTATTATTATTATTATTATTTGATATTGTATGTCTGATGATGTATATCAGACGTTTGATTTGGTATAACAGACGTCTGATATGGTATGTCAGATGTCTGATATTGTATATCAGACGTCTGATGTGGTATAACAGACATGTGATATGGTATGTCAGATGTCTGATATAGTATGTCGTGCTACTTTAAGTTTGAAAATGTTATCAAATTTATATTAAGACTTAGCATTCTCTCTACAGTGTGCAAAAAAATTGAATGAATGCATTTATTTTGCTTAGTTCTGATCCTATTCAGCCTAGTTTTGCAAGCGCTTCCCCAGCTAGTGATAGCATAGGTTAAATATGGATAGGTGAAAGAGTAATACAGTTGTTTCATTGTATTCAGATTTACAAAGTGTCTTAATTTGGTAATAGTTGCTATATTTTTTGCTAATTTATTGTTGATATGTGTAATCTGAGGTCTGCAGTGTAAGTGTTGATCTATATACACACCCAGGTACTTTATTTGGCTTTTGATCTTGATGTTATTTACATTTATACTTCCACTTAACCTTGAGGATGAGACTAGGATGTAATTTGTCTTTGAAAAGTTTATAGATAATTTGTTAATGGCACAGCACTTATTGACTTAAATTCTTCATTCATGATAGACTCAAGGTTATGCAGATTATTAATTGTATAAAACATATCAGTGTCATCAGCAAATATTCAGAAGGATAGTTTGCTTGAACAGTTTGGCAAATCATTAATATAAAGCAGAAATAAGAGTGGACCCAAAGTTTATCCCTGAGGCATTCCCCAGATAATGGTCTGACTTCTAGATATAGTGTCACCAATTTTGACGACCTGATTACGATTGTATAAGTAGTTTTCAAACCATCTGAGAGGATTTCCGCGTAAACCATATCTATGGAGTTTCAATAACAGAATATCATGGTTAATTGTGTCATTAGTGCCTTTGAAAAGTCAAGAAAAAGACCGCAGGTGACCAATTTTTTATCCATAGACCTGCTCAGTGAAGTATCCCTTTCTAAATCCAAAGTGATACTTAAACAAAATGCTATATTTTCAAGAAAGTTGTATGGTTGGTTATAAATTAACTTAAAGTTTTCAAAAACCTTTCTAAAAGATGAGAGAGTTGAAATAGGCCTATAGTTTGCTGTAAACTGGAGTAACCTGTGAAACTTTTAATATATTTGGAACTATACCAGTTTCAATCGATTGATTATAATTTTGCGTGAATGGAACAGATAATGGCTCAGCCGCTATTTTTATTAGTTTGTTAGGTATGCCAATTGATGATTTGTTTGCATCCAGGTTTCTAAACAAGTTAGAAACCTGATCTTCTGAGACATTTTCCATAACAAAACTGTTAATTGAAGATGACGAGATATATTGTGTAGGATTTTCATTGCTTTTGTCAATTTTACTGGCCAAGTTTGGGCCTACATTAATAACATGTTTATTAAACTGATCTGCAATATCTTCATTATTGGTATATATCTTGTTATTCCTATCTATTCTTAGGGGAATAGACTGGCTTTCTGTCTTTCTCTTTATCAGTGTGCCAATAAGTTTCCAAGTAGCTTTTAAATTACTTTTACACATCTCAAAGTGCATGCAGAAATATGTCTTCTTACTAATATTCTTGTTCTGGTTGAGCTTATTTGAATATTTTTTGAATTCAACTATTTTGATTGGGTCATGAGATAAAAAATAGGTTGTATACATAGTGTGCTCAGATTTGATAGATTTAATGATTCCTCTTGTTAACCAAGGTATTTTAAGAGCCTTTGTTGATTCCTAGACAGTTTTCTTTTTGGTGCATGTTTTTCAACAATCAATTCAATAATCAATTGAATATACCACATCAAAATAATGTCTGACATATCTTATAAGACGTCTGAGGTTACACATCAGACATCAAACATGAGATATCTGACATCAGACAAAAGACATCAGACGTCTGATATACCACATCAAACACGTGATATCGGACGTCTGACATACCACATCAGACATGGAACATACATTTGATATCAGACATCAGACAACTGACATCAGATGTGTGACATACCACATCTGACATCAGACGTCCGACATATTACAACAAACATTAGACATCGGACACCTGACATCAGACATCTCACATACAGCATCAAATGTTAGACGTCTGATATACGACATCAGACATCTGACATACCACATCAAACATCTGACATTAGCAATCTCACATAACACATCTGACATACCACATCAGACATCGGACTTCAGATGTCTGATATACCACATCTGCTGTCTGACATACCACATCAGACATCTGATATACCTCATCAGACGTGTGACATCAGAGGTCTGACATATCATATCAGACGTCTGACATACCACATCGGACATCTGACTTCAAATGTCTGATATACCACATCAGACTTCTGACATACAATATCAGACGTCTGACATACCAGGTCAGACGTCTTGCATACCATATCAGGCATGTGTCATACCATATCAGATGTCTGACATACCACATCGGACATCAGACAACTGACATCAGACGTCTGGTGACTCTGATACACCACATCAGACAACTGACATCAAACGTCTGACATCAGACATCTGACATACCACATCAAACATTGGACATCAGACATATGAAATATTATGACAGACAATTGACATACCACATCAAACATGGGACATCAGTCATCTGGCATCAGATATCTGATATACCGTATCAGACAACAGACATCAGGCATCTGACATGCAACATCTGCTATCAGACGTCTCATATACCATATCAGACATCAGATGTATGACGTACCATGACCTGCAGGTTATGACCTCTCACTAAACTCATACAGGTGGAAGGGGGGTGGAAATCTGCATGTAGGCATGTAGGGGTTTATTCTTGAGGTATGCTTGAACTCTCTAGGCTTAGAACCTCAAATGAGTAAAACTTGTAGTCATGAAAAAACCTGTTAAAAATTACAGTCTGTACAAAATGACACTATTATATAAACTTCCTTAAATTTCAGCGATTAAAGCATCTTGATTTGCCCGTAGCTTGCTGTAAACCATCTTTAAAGGTCAGTACACACTAGGCAACAAGTTTCAGCAACACATTGTGGTGACACATCGCTGCAACAAACACATCAGAGGTCTGATATACCACATCAGATGTCTGACATACCATATCAGACGTTTGACATACCATATCAGATGTGTGACATACCACATCAGACATCTGACATACCACATCAGACGTCTGACATACCATATGACATATGTGACATACCACATCAGACATCTGATATCAGACATCTGACATACTATATCAGACATCTTTTGTCAGATATCTGACATACCACATCAGATATCTGACATATCACATCAAACATTGGACATCACACATGTGAAATATTACAACAGATATCTGACATACCACATCAATCACCAGACATCAGTCATCTGACATCAGACGTCTGATATACCGCATCAGACAACAGACATCAGATGACTGACATTGGACAACAGACATCTGCCATGAGACGTCTCATATACCACATCAGATGTCTGACATACCATGACCTGCAGGTTAAAGTTCTTCACAAACCGTAGAACGTATGCTGTTACGCTGAGAAGTCTGGAGAGAGTGCTGAATCTTGAAACATCAATAAGATTATGGATGCCTAGCTCTTTCTCCGTCGGATCTGTCTGAGTCGTCCCATTCCTGGTTGTGGTATCAGTGTCTTGGCGATCGGGCGATGCTCACACAGCTGTAGATGGAGTATTTTGAGGATTCCAAGATGGCCATTGCTCGACAAGTGTTAACCATTGGGGACCAAAGTTGCCAAAGAGATGAGGTGTGAAGCTGTGTTGTAGAGATAATATAGTAAGCAGATCAGCAGGGTTTCTTGGGTTGAGCAATGATTCAGACAGTAACAGGGAAATAAGTGTCATGACCTTTTGGTGCGGTTGGCAATAAACTGTTTGAGGGGTTTGGAGCTGTGTAACCAATGGAGGACTATCTCGCTGTCTGACCACAGATGGACGGCTGTAATATTGGGAAAATCTCGTTTGAGGGGCTTCTGCTACCGAAAATAGAGCTTAAGTCTTGTGCCGATTGATGCCGCCATTAGTTCCAATTGAGGGAATTATCAATTTTCAGTGGAGCAACACGTGACCTTGACATGACGAGTGAGGTCTGGTCTACATTAGAAATGTGAGCTACAGCTCCATATGCTTTAGGGCTGGCATCAGCAAAGACATGGGCAGATTGGTTTGTACATTAGACGGCACTTGTGAGAAGAAGCATCTGGGTAAGATCTTGCTAGCCTCTTGGATATCTTGGGCCATGTCATTCCACTTGGCTTCCAGTTCTGTGGGAAGTGGCTCGTCCCATTCCAGCTTTCTTTGCCACAGTTCTTGAATGAGGAGCTGGCCTTCAGTGACTGGAGATATGAATCCCAGTGGATCATAAGTCCTTGAGGCAAGTTGTAGTACATCACGTTTGAGGTTGGTTGACTGGAAGGGAGGCGAGTTCCTTTGGTGCAAGAGAGATGGTGTCTTGATTGGTGCCAGCGCAAACCAAGAATGTTGACCACAGTGCTTGATCGGCTGTTTGATCTTGTTCTGCCCCTTCACGAAGTCGTGGGCTATTGATGCCCATGAGCGCAGGTTGAAATTGGCTTCATTCATGATTGATCTTGACTCTTGATAGTAACGGATGATGTCAGTTTCTTGGTCACACCCGGAGATAACATTGTCTACATACATATTGTTTCCAATGTCTTTGGCCACAGGTGTACTGTAGTTTTCAGATGATGATGCAGTGTAGCGTTCAGCATGAAAGGGGAACTGGTGGAACCAAATAGGACCGTCTTGAAAACGAAAGACCTGAAATTCGCTTTCCGGATTCTTAGGGTCTGACAACCAGAAAAATCGGGTAAAGTCTCGGTCATTGCCATCGAGACCGACATGAAGAAAGGCCTTCAATATCTGTGGACAGGCCGTAAGTGAAGGATCGGAATCTTATGATGATGGAGCACATATCGCTTAGAAATGGAGGGCCCACCATAAGGCAGTCGTTCAAACTTGGAGAGTTGTTTGAGGATCGGGAGCTGCAATCAAAAACAACTCTGATAGGTGTGGTAGCAGATTCTTTCTTGACTGCGTGATGTGGGAGGTAGTGCGCTCTATCCATACTGTCTACATTGTCAACCCTTTCAATAAATCCACGCCTTTCATGTTCTTTGATAATTTTCCCGTACGAGGTAAGAAGGCTAGGTGTCTGAGCAAGGCGGCGTACCATAGCCCGCGTGCGGCGTGCACAGCTACCATAGTTGGAAGGTAGTGTGGGAAAATCTTCCTTCCATGGGAATTTGGCGCTGTAACTGCCATCGGACATTCTTGTGATTGAGGATCTCTGGTAGTGTTGCAGGAAGGACTCCTGGTTATCCACTTCTGTAGGTGGTGTGATGCCTATAGACTCCAGAGACCAGAAATGTTCAAGATCACGTTCTGCCGCCGTTGTGGAAGACAGTGTCTGTAGCAGGTTCACAGCAGTGTCAGTGCGATTGACGCAGTTAGTCTGTAGCGGTCCAGAGATGAGGTAGCCAATCTTTGATTCTACAGCAGTTGGGCCTTGACCGCGGATGACCTTGTCCATCACTATATCCCAATAGTGATCCGCACCAAGTAGAAGTGAGATTTCAAAATTCTCGTCCGACGTCACAGGGTGGGCAAGTTGAAGACCCTTAGGTAAGGTATGGTTCGGACCTGCTGCCGAAAGCGGTTCTGAAGTGGTGTGGTGATTTGGTCAATCACAAGGACACGTACTGGTATGTGTTCCCCATTGTTAGTGACGATAGTGATGTTGGCCATAGGTAATCGTCTGTTGGATGAGGAGTGTGCACCAAAGGCAGACAAGGCAATAGATTCATTCTCTGTGTAAAGTATGCCTAGTTGATCAGCCAAGGACTGCGTGATAAAGGAGCGCTGTGCACCTTCGTCGAATAGAATGTTAGCTTCACAGTGCGTATGGTTATAGCCAACAGTTGCTACAGCAGTTTTCAAGAGTGATATTGGGCCATTGTTGACTGGGATATTCGTTTGAGTAATTGGTGCGAGAGAGGTATGTACCCCCTGAAGGGTGGCTCTGCTATAGAAGTATGAGGACTGTGAGTGGGAGCCGTATTGTCAGGTGTGGTCGGAGGGTTGATGGCAGGATCAGTGAGGCCCAAACATAAACTTGTGTGATGTTTCCCCTACATTTATGGCAGCGGAATTTTGACTGACACACTGAAGACTTGTGTTTCCCCAAACAGTTGAAGCAATGTCCGAGAGTCTTAACCTTTGTCCATCTCTCCCGAACGTCAGTGACTACTTGACAATTGTAGGAGGGGTGGGGACCCTTGCAGTACAGACATTTTTTAGATTCTGGTTTACTAGATTTCCCCAAATGAGGCTGTTTTCCTTGTATTTGAGCGAGAAAAAAGAACCAGTGATTGTTGGGGTGAGTCCATGAGGGGTGTCGTTAAGTTGGGTACCTGCTTCAAGGATTCAATTTCCCTTACAATAGCTTCTCTCAACTCCTGGAATTTCCATTCAGGGCTCTCGTGTTCACAGGGCTAAGATCTTTCTCAACTCATGGGGTAACTTTCCCAGGATAATTGGAACGAGGAGATCCCCATAGCTTTCGTGTGATCTTCCAAGTGATTCAAGACCTCTGACATGAGTTTCCATGGTATCATAAAACAGTTGCAAGCTTGTTAACTGGTTGGCAGGGCTAGCAATTTCCAGGAGAGCTTGCATATGGGCACCTATGATCTTACTGGGTTGCCCAAAACGTTCCTTAAAGGAACAGTATCCCGTTACTGCGCATGCACCAAACTTTGATTTTTGGACAGGATGTCGCGAAATCAAAAGATGCGAGGAGAGTAAGAGAACCGTGAAAAATCCGTTTGCATCGCGCTTGACCGGGCTCAATACGACACTAAAACTTCTCAGGATTACAGATCAATGATATATTGTTCCTGTTAAGTTTCGATTTGGGCAAAATCTGGATTTTTGGCGTTACTTTTATTGCCGTTGGCCGGAGGACCACAAGATTGGACCTCTCACTAAACTCATGGAGGTGGAGGAAGGGGTGGGAATCTGCATGTAGGGGTTTATTCTTGAGGTATTATTGAACTCTCTAGGCTTAGAACCCTAATGTGTAAAACCTGTAGTAAGGAAAAATCCTACTAAAAATTACAGTCTATACAAAAGGACACCATTATAATTAATTTGCTTAAATTTCAGCAATTAAATCATCTTAATTTACCCTTTGCTTACTGTAAATGGTCTTTAAAGGTCGGTACATGCTAGGCAACAAGTTTCAGCAACACGTTGTGGCAACACATCGCTGAGAGAAATTGCTTTGTGTGTGCTGGAGAATTATTGTGAAAATCTCTGCCTCCCCAACAAGTCGCACAAAATCAAAAGTTTAATTTGTGCGGCGAAAAGATTCTGTTGCTGAGACAAAGATTTCCAGAAAAATTCTCCAGTACACATGAAGTGATTTGTCGCTGTGACGTTTATCAGTGAAGGGCGTGTCAACATGCCCTCCTTGGAAACCAGCAGAGTGTTTTTGGTGCTAGCGTGTTTCTCTTGTAATTTGAAGTTTTAAATAAATATAGTGTTATTTATTACCTTGAGCAACTTGTTAGAGCATATTAACGCCCGAACTGTACACATTGATTGATTTGTTGCTGCGACTTGTTGCAGGCACATGTCGCCTAGTCGTGTGTTCCATCCTTAACACAATGTACCATAAAAAACTGGTACATCAGCTGCATCCACTTATCAGAAAATTTCACTCAGATCTGGGGCTGCGAAAAGTTGTAACATCAGCATTGAATAATATTTTTGTTGTTTTGTACACATGATTTGCAGTTTAAGTAAACACATTTCTTGCCACTGTCTTTACAGAGGTTAAATTGTCAGAACTGTCAGAAGTTGTTGGAAATTATGAAAAACTGAGACTTCAAGATCAGCAAGCCATTCAGAAACTTAAAGATCGCTTGCATCAGCTGGATGTAGAGAATGTAGAATTAACAAGACAGATGAGTACTGATGAAAACCATGCACCTGACAATGAAAAGGAAGCTGGCCAAGATGAAACACCAGAAGAATTAAAAGAACAAGTTATGAAGTTGAAAGGACTGCTAAAAATTGCTTTGAACTCATCAGACAAGCCATTAGATTTGGGTAAGAATAATACACTATAATGTGCAGTGATGTGTGTTTACCAAAGCTAGGAGATGCCACTAGGTAAGCCCTGATTTTCAAGTTGAAAATGAAATACTGTGCTGTTTAGTTTTTCATCTTATCCCAATCCTCCCATGACTTGATGCACGCTTACCCTAGCTAGCTGGCCCTTTACCATTTTGAAAGCTACAAAGCCGCAGGAAGCCTTCACTGCCAGAGTTAATTGCAGTTTCTGTTACTATTTCCTCTACATAGATGAATAAGTTTTGTAGTTGTCTTCTAAATTCTTACACAGTAACCATTCATTTAAAAGCTACTGAACTTACACAGTAGGTTTCTATACAGTTTTATTTGAGAGGTGAGTTGAAGTAGTTCTGATATTTCTATTTTTTTTGGAAACAGGCAAGCCCATATTGTTTGTTTGTCCTTTTTTTCCATCTCCTTAGAATTGGAAGAGCTGAGCAACAAGTCAGAGTTTGAGTCTGTCTTTGTCAGTGACCCATCTCACAAGGTTTGCCAACAGCAACTGCGTCAACTAAAGGAAGAATTTGAACGATACAAAGTGAAGACACAAGCTCTTCACAAAAACAAATCATTTAAAGAACTAAGTGAGCAAATAGGCAACATGGAAAAATTAAAACTGCAAAATGAAGACTTAGAAAAACAACTTCATGAATTAAAAGAGTCAAACAATATAAGAGAACTTGATCAAAAAAAGGTCATCACAAACTTACGAGACCAACTCAAGTTAACCGAGGAAAATTACAGGCTGGAAAAAGAAGAAGCCAACACTGTCTACAAACAAAAACTTGAAGACCTTGAAAGACAGGTTTTAAATCAAAGGGAACGGACACTTGCTCTTGTCGCTGAGAAAGATGCAGAAATCGAAATGCTTAGGAGCCGTAGCCCAAGTGCCAGTCCTTCAGCTGACACAAGATCAGTATTTTCTTATCAAAGGAAGTTTGTGGAGATGACGGGTGTATCCCAGGCCTCCATGGACCTGCCTGAGGCTTCTGAAGCTGATGCAGCTGTTCATCAGCTGTTGTCCAAAAATTCGGGAGTAAGTGAAATTTTTAAAATAGTGTTTCAGTAATTTCAATATCCAGCAGGCCCGTAGGGAAGGGCTAGGCAACAGATGTGCTTGCATTCCCCCCCGCCGCCCCCTGCTAAAGATTTGCTCTAACATTCCAACCACTAACTAGCCGTAAATGTGCAAGATGTACAAGTACTCTTAAACTGCTTACAGAAACATAACACTTTTAACTAGTCCTTTAATAATTGCACTCCACTATATAACAGACGTTGCGTTTTTCAGTATTATTTTTTCTAAAAAAAAGGAATTACCAGGGGTGACTTCTCCAGTTTTAAATAAGAAAAAGTATAGAAAAGAACAGTTGTTATTTAAAGTATAAGAGGTTACACATTTACTGTAAATGACTCGAATTATTGCTCTTGACGTAATCTGATATGCTTTGGGGCTAAGCTTGAGTTTTTCACCATGACTCTCATTAGGTTACAGGCAGCGAGAGAACCCTGGTTCATTATGCTCAACAACAGGCCAGAAGAGAAGCAGAAAGTACAGCCATAAGGCGGCAGAAGAATGAACTCGAAGCCGCTTTGAGAGACTCCGAACTAAGGTTTGTTTCCCTTTTACAAACGTTTTAAACACATCTTTTGTAATAGTACCAGTCTTTATTTTGTGTGTTGAACTGCAAGAAGCTTCGAAAGCCTGAATAAGCTGGAAAGGATTTGTCCAGGCAAAAAAGAAGATCTGAAGTACAAAAGCTCAATGCGATGATGGACAATCCAGACAGAATTGTATATATAGGCTAGGTTTCAAAATATCATGTTGATTGTCTGGATCGTACCAAGGACTTTGCAACAGTGGAGGTGATCATTATGATCTAGATGATTCTATGCAAGCCAGGTTTTAACTCTTTAAGCCCTAATAACTATCATACAAATACTCCAAGCTGATCTCCATTCGTGATTTCCTTAAAGAATTAGTCGAGACAATTTGATAAAAGATGGAAGTGTTTTCCCTTTCGTGATCACTTTATTCATTCTCGTAACCTTCTCTCGTGATTATGTATTGATACAGTTAATTCTCTCTTTAAGAAAGGCATCTTTAGGATTTGCAATATGTGTCTGTCATAGAGAAATGTCCAGTGGCGGATCCATGGGAGGAGCCCGTCCCCCCCCCCTTATTTTCAGACCAAAATGAGGCCCAAAGAGCCGAAAAAAAATTTTTTTAGACCATGTCCCCCCACCCCCCTTATTTCAGGGTCTGGATGACCAGCCCCCCCCCCCCTTCTCTGAAGGTGTGGATCCGCCACTGATGTCCGTCTTATTGAGAGTCAACTAAAAGGGGTGAAGTAAGGCAGCAAACAACTCTGGTTGTCCGTTTAGCGGGGTGTTGGTTAACACAGAAATGACTGCCTGTGGACTGTTAGGAAAAAATTGAGGTTAATCACATTTGGGTCCTAAGAAGTCCATTATCGGCATTTTCATGTGAATTGCAACGTAAATGTGCATAACCCGGCGCACCTCAGTTGCGAGAAAACATCGCACTTCGTTGTCTCTCGCAACAATGCTTGAAGAGTCAGTCATCTACAACTCTTAGATTTGGTTGACAAACATGAAATCGTCATCGCTCGCTCGATCGATACCTTCCGCTGTACTACCAGTGTAGTGAACAGTTATCGGTGATTTTGTTTCGTCTACGTGCTTGTTGAAAAAGTACTCTTTGAGGTGAGATCCATACCTTTAAGGTCGACAACCCGGCAAAAGTCCTGAAAGTATACAGTCTACTGGTTCTTTTAACACGCGAGGGGAAAGTGGCAGGCAATCTTCATATTTTGGAGGTTCCAGTGTGGTTAGCCTTAGGGATCAGCAGCAAACTCAGGCTCAGGCCTTCTTTAAAGACTTAAAATTTAATGCTTGGGCAAATGGTATTGATTTTGTTTTGTTTTGTTAATTATACATGTTAGTTTAAACTTGTATTTTGTGTATTGTCAGAGGAGACAAACTGATGGACCAGGCTAATGTTCTTAAAGAAGAAATCAGGAAGCTTGAAAGAGACAGGTAAGGGACACGAAAATGTGGTATTTTTAGTTGAAATAAAATTCATTCACGTGGTCTGCCCTTTCCCTGTTGTTACAGACAGTCCTGTCTTCCCCTGTGGGACCATCTCTAAGATGGACTCTAATAGAGAGGAGAAGTGTGACGTCACGTTGCCATGGTAGCAAAATTTTGGGATCAAAACAATAGAGAGCTTTAGCAACGGCGAGGGCAACGAAAACGGCAAAAAAATAAGTTGATATTAGCAAAACAACAAATTTTCACGTGCATCACTCTTTTTTGTACATTTCGTAGCCGCCGTTGCACGATTGCGACATGAAGCTTCCTAATTTCACGCGCCCACTTTAGGGAGTAGGTGAACAAAACACAGAAATTTTCTTTTTCTTTTTCTGAACTTTGATACCGTCCTTTCGGATTCAACTCCAGATAATTTCGCCTACGTTTGACAAATCAAATGAAACTGAATAGAATCGATGAAGTTTGAAACCGTGCGAATTCACCTTTTAAGAGACATTTTGGGTTTGTTGTCATCCAGAAATTTGGCTACCATGACAACGTGACGTAACGACTTCTCCTCTGTATTCTAAGTATCACTCATTTTTGAAAGTGAAGCACAATATAAACCAATAATGTTGGTAGCTTCTTATTGTTATTGAGAGCATGACCACCATATAATTAAGGGAGCGTACGCAAAGAGGGTTGCGTTGGCAATCGCATCTTCAAAAACGGAAAAGTTTCAATCAACAAAACAACAGCTTTACATGTTCGTTACACGGTTTAGTTTATTTCCTGATCATCGCTTGCAAAACTTTGGCCTTAAATTCTCAGTCCTGGTGTAATTTATGATACTCTAATGTCTATAAAGAACATGGGAAAACGTGACGAAGTTACAAATAATACAGAGGGTGTACGAGTTGGATTAATCGCGATGGAGTTTGAAAGAATACGAGTTATTTCTATTGGTGACCGGACTTTTTCATTGCCGTTGACGTCGTAGCTGCATATTAAGCTGCCTGTTATCATTCCCTTTGTCATCATCAGTCATCGTCATTACTGACATTACCATCATCATCATCATCACCGCCAGTACTATCATTAAACATCACAACCCTCATCATAGCCTCCTGATCCTCCAACCTTTTCATTTACACCTGCCAAGCAGGCTTTCATCATCATCATTGTCGTAGTCATCATCATCATTAGGGAGCTTAAGCAACTACGACGACGACCACAACGACGACTTCAAAACAACAATAGGTTTTATGATCAAAAGAACAGCTCTGCACGTGCGCCACGCTTTTTAGTACATTTCTTTGACGTTCACTGCACGCGAACTACGACGTGAAACCTCCTAATTTGACGTTTTATGGAGGACGTGGACATACGACGACGAATTTTCCTTCATCTTTTTTAACTTTAATAAAATCCTTAACAATTCAACTCCAGGAAAAGTGGCCTGCATTTAACATATTTAGCGGGTCTAAATAGACGCGATTAAGTTTGAAAGAAAGCAAATTCAATTTTTTACCGACGTTTTCACTGCCGTCGCCGTCGTCCTTGCTTAAGGTCCCTACAAATATCTTCATCACCACCATCATCATCTTCATCATCATCTTCGTCATCATCATTATGCCCCTCCTCCACTTCAGCAGTATCATCATCTTTGTCATATATATCTTTCTGTATGTTTTGTAGGTCTCGTGAGAGTGCAAACATGGAATATCTAAAGAACATTGTTTTAAGGTTCATGATGAGCACCAGCTACTCAGTCAAACAACAAATGATAACCGCCATAGCCACCATACTGCAGTTCAGCCCTAGAGAGGTACAGTTAAACCTCTCTTATTTCAAACCATAAAGAGTTTACTTAAAAAGGGTACTGTAGTCAACTGCGCATGCGTGACCTGGGACTAAAATTTTGAATGTTAAAAACTAGAGCCGTCGGTAAGATTTTTTATTTTTCATGAAGAGTTACCTGGACCATGATATGTTGCTGTAGTTGAATTTTAATTTACAATATTCCATGAAATTTTCCTTTACGCAGTGTTTTTTTTTTTATATCCAGGATATCCTTTCTCGGCCTACCTGTTATGGTGGTTTTCTAACACCCCCTTAATAGAAGCTCGACTTAATTAGTAGAACTATTGCAAGTGTTTATCGTGAAGTATTTTATCTGTTCTCCATCAGGATTCCTTATGCAGTTTTTTCTTCATAGTTAGGTAACAATAAATTTTGTTTTTCTTTGACAGCTGAATCAAGTGAGAAAAGTTCAATCAGGAACTTGGTGGGGTACATAACTGCCGGCATAAGTAGCAGTTGATGACAAACGTATTTTAGAATTGTTTATCATTATGGAAAACCAGCATTTTAGGCTAAACTGTACAAGTTTATTCCTGATCGGGATCAAGTAACGAAGTACATTTTCAATTGAAATGATAAGGTAATTAAATTGGGGAGTTCTTAGATACGGTGGCACTCAGTAGTAAGTTACGATGCCTTGAAAGGTCTACAGTACGACACAACATGCATTATGCACACATACTAACGGAATGTGATTCTGAATTCTTACTTACAACTTTTTGTTAATTCGCTCTCATGACTGTCTCGTATTTCGGTAGGAGGATAGCGTCTTCTCAATACGAGAGTTGCGTTTCTCCAGGACGAGGATCGCGTTTGCAACATGCTGTAAAGGGGGATTTCCACTGTTGCGTGATTTTTACACGCTTAAATGAAATAGGGTAATGTATGGAAGGTCACCCTTAAATGTAAAAGTTGAACCCCGCTGAACTTTTACTTTTAAGCGAGGCCTTCCATATATTGCCTGTATTTCATTTATGCACGTAAATTTTACATGTTCGAAAGAAAAAAAAACATATGCAACAGTGGAAATCAACGCTAAGCGAACTTTTCGGAGGCACTGTTTCATAATAAAATATTTCTTGACATGGGGTGGGTATACTGTACAAACATTTTCTTAGGTGGGAAGGTGGGGCCTGTTCATTAGAAGCCGTACCCATTACAACAGCTGTCGAAAAGGGCGATGTAAAATCATGATAGATGATTAGTTTCAACTGATGTGACTGATTCGCTTTGCCCTTTGGAGACAGTTGTTACTTTTAAGAAAACAGTGAGGTTTTCTTGACACAAAGATTCCAATTTTGTAAAACTAGTTATTTATACCAGGCAATAAGTCTCATTGCTGCTTATTCCTTAGGCCTTTCATGCCACTACTTGACACTGTGTGGGATAATGCATTGCACGATTTTTCTACGCTATTTATTGTTAAATAGATCACTCTGTCCGGACTTAACATTCTTACGCCAATGTTCAAAGGGTCTTTCTTTTGTTGCCTCTATAATCTTGGCAACATGAGTAAGTGTATCTAAAGAGTCTAAATACAGTAAAGAACCTTGCGTTGTGCCTGTAAGTTACTACCGGATTAGTCCTATATTTTTGCAGTTTTGGTGGGTTTTGTACTATATTTTCAGGTTGCTAAGTCCTATATTCCTATATTTTTGGACCCCTAAAGCTCTTGACACCCTGCAAACAGTCTGGGAAAGCCGCTACCGCCAGCTAAGCGTGATCGGCAGACAATCAATACGGAGGGATTGAGGGAGGTAATGGTTTGGTAATAAGGACTTTACGATGCGGTTACGGCGACCTCGATGAAAACGTTGCTGAAAATAGACTCCGCATCCTTTCAAATCACAAGTTGCCCAGTTACATAAAAGAAGGGAATTTATGTTGGAGCTGAGAAGAGGGGACCACGCCCGAGTTAGAACAGAGATGGTATAATTTATCGCCTTGCCTTTCCCGTCGTCCAAAAAACGTAACGTATTCGTGCAGGGAAGGCAAAGAAATGTACGAAAAAGCGTGTTTTGCTAACTACCCAGGTGAATATGGGTGTATATGACTCTATAAAAGGTGTATATGGGTGTATATAAGGTGCATATAAGATGTATGTGGGTGTATATAAGGTGAATATGGGTGTATATAAATGTATATCAGGTGTATACAAGGTGTATATCAGGTGTATGTGGGTGGTATATAAGATGTATATAACGTGTATATGGGTATATATTAGAAGGGCTTCAAGTGTCCCTATATTTCCTATATTTTTAAACTTTCCCTATATTTCCCTAGTTAGTTTGTAAATACCCTATAATCCCTATAATTCCATCAGAAAATAAAAATAGACAAGTTCATGAACCCCTGTTAGTGGAATGTGACAAAGACAGTGAATTTTTCGGACTGTCCAAGACCAAACTGGTAATAAGTTTATTATAAGTGCATGTAAGTGTACTTAATTTGATGCTGCTGTGAGCAGTGATTCTTTATTCAGATATTGTTCAGATCTTAGAAGGAGTATGTATGTGGCAACTTTGTGTGCCCTTGTTTTTCAAATGGAAGGGGATCGATCAATAATTGGTTGCCTTTAAAGTAGCCAGCAGGAAAATAAGAATTTCCAATCTATGATGAGGGATCTCTAATAATGTGCAGGGTTAAAGCTCGGTCTGACGGAACGACTGTACCATTCTCAAGACTAATGTTGCTCCTTTAATTGCAACGGAAGACAAAACCAATGCTGCAAATGATAAGGTTCACGTAGAGAACCAGAACCGTGGTCTTGCCTGACCAGAAAGTGACACTTTTGATTAACCGAATATTCGCGAGCAAAAGGGATTACATATAAAGACACTGTGCTCCACTCCAAAGATTCGCCTTATCCACAAAAAAGTGGAGGGTATCAGTCGTCAAGTACGATTCTCCATACTTGGTTTGTTGGTGTAGCTTCGAGTTTAAGCTATAATTCCTTCTTTTAAGTTTGGATCTGTAGATCACTCTTCATGAGAATTTTACATCTTGCAAGCATCTCTAAAACTCTGGGCCCAGCCCAACAAAACATAGCAGGGAGTCATTGCTTAAAGGGACAAAACAACTCTACAGTCAAACATTTTGGAGCAAACTATAGAAACTAAAACCTTTATCAAAAGGTTATTGAGTTGCAGTATCAAGTTTAACGCTTCAAAAGTAGTCACATTGTCAGAAACAAAAACCACCAGAAATCAGTAGGTTTAAAACAAACCAGTTTCTTGCTCTCTCAGTGTGAGAAAAACTCCACAGCATGAGCTACCCGCCAGAAAATAAAAAGGGGTTTAAACATGAGGTTAAAGTTGTATTGGCATACCAATTTCACTGTTTCACCTAGAAAGAATTCTAACAGTTGCAAAACACAATAACAGCATTTTCACCGTACTTTAGGGTCAGTGTGTGTATTAATCTAGGTACATTTTTTGCGTGCTCAAAGTTAGTGACCTTATTCTCTACTAGTGTTCCCAATGTTGGACTAAAATGTATTGTGTTCCTTACCTTCTGCAGAGTTGTGTTACCCCTTGTTACCCCTTGCTACCCTTGTTACCCCTTGTTACCCTTTGTAACCCTTGTTACCCCTTGTTACCCCTGTTATCCCTTGTTACCCTTGTTACCCGTGTTACCCCTGTTACCCCTTGTTACCCGTGTTACCCCTTGTTACCCCTTGTTACCCTTTGTTACCCTGTTACCCCTTGTTACCCCTGTTATCCCTTGTTACCCCTGTTATCCCTTGTTACCCCTGTTACCCCTTGTTACCTGTGTTACCCCTTGTTACCCCTGTTACCCCTTGTTACCCCTGTTACCCCTTGTTACCCTTTGTTACCCCTGTTACCCCTTGTTACCCCTGTTATCCCTTGTTATCCCTTGTTACCCCTGTTACCCCTTGTTACCTGTGTTACCCCTTGTGACCCCTGTTACCCCTTGCTACCCTTGTTACCCCTTGTTACCCTTTGTTACCCCTGTTACCCCTGTTATCCCTTGTTACCCCTTGTTACCCCATCGTTACCCTTTGTTACCCCCGTTACCCCTTGTTACCTTTTGTTACCCGTGTTTCCCCTTGTTACCCCTGCTATCCCTTGTTACCCCTTTTACCCCTGTTATCCCTTGTTACCCCTTGTTACCCCCTGTTAGCCCTTGTTACCCCTTGTTACCCCTGTTACCCTTTGTTACCTGTGTTATCCCTTGTTACCCCTCTTACCCCTGGTTACCCTGTTATCCCCTGTTACCCCTTGTTACCCCTTTTTACCCCTGTTATCCCTTGTTGCCCCTTGTTACCCCTTGTTACGCCTGTTACCCCTTGTTACCCTTGTTACCCCATCGTTACCCTTTGTTACCCTCGTTACCCCTTGTTACCCCTGTTAATCCTTGTTACCCTTTGTTATTCTTTGTTACCCCTTGTTACCTGTGTTACCCCTTGTTACCCCTGTTACCCCTTGCTACCCTTGTTACCCCTTGTTACCCTTTGTTACCCCTGTTACTCCTTGTTACCCCTGTTATCCCTTGTTACCCCTGTTACCCCTTGTTACCTGTGTTACCCCTTGTGACCCCTGTTACCCCTTGCTACCCTTGTTACCCCTTGTTACCCTTTGTTACCCTTGTTATCCCTTGTTACCCCTGTTACCCCTTGATACCCCTGTTACCCCTTGTTACCCTTGTTACCCCATCGTTACCCTTTGTTACCCCCGTTACCCCTTGTTACCTTTTGTTACCCGTGTTTCCCCTTGTTACCCCTGCTATCCCTTGTTACACCTTTTACCCCTTGTTACCCCTTGTTACCCCTGTTATCCCTTGTTACCCCTTGTTACCCCCTGTTAGCCCTTGTTACCCCTTGTTACCCTTGTTCCTTGTTACCCGTGTTATCCCTTGTTACCCCTCTTACCCCTGGTTACCCTGTTATCCCCTGTTACCCCTGTTACCCCTTTTTACCCCTGTTATCCCTTGTTGCCCCTTGTTACCTTTGATACCTCTTGTTACCCCTTGTTAACCCAGTTACCTCTTTTTACCCCTGTTACCCCTTGTTTTCCTTGTTACCCTTTTTACTCCTTGTTACCTTTTGTTACCCCTTGTTGCCCCTTTTTGCTCCTTGTTACCCTTTGTTATCCCTGTTACCCTTGTTAGCCTTGTTACCTCAGTTCCCCTAGTTACCCCTGTTCCTCTTCCTTACCAGTTGTTACCCCTGTTACCTCTGTTTCCCCTTGTTACTATTTGTTACCTCTTTCCCACCTTTTTACCCCTGTTCCCCCTTGTTATCCCTGTACCTTTTTGTTACCCGTTGTTTCCCCTGTTACCTCTGTTCCCCCTTGATACCCCTGTTCCCCCATTTTACCCCATTTACCCCTGTTACATATATATACATATAACGTTTATATAAGGTGTATAAGGGTGCATATAAGGTGAATATTGGTGTATTTAAGGTGTATAGTAGAAGTATAAGCCTGTATGTAAGGTGTATATCAGGCGTATATGGGTGGTATATAAGGTGTATTTCAGGTGTATATGGGTGGTATAGAAGGTGAATATGGGTGTATATACGACGTATTTTGGTGCATATAAGGTGTATATGTCTATAACGTTTATTATGACTGGAGTATATAAGGCGAATATGGGTGTATATAAGGTGTATATTAGGTGTATATGGTTGTATATAAGCTGTATATGGGTGTATTAAAGGTGTATGTGGGTGTATATGCGTGTATGTAAGAAAAAAGTGTTTCCTTAAAAGAAAAATTACACCGTGACGGAATATTCAGTCATTTTACTGTACAAAAAAGCTGAATGCTCAACAATACAAGGCTAAAAAGGACATTGTCTGGTAAAATGTTTGTTCTTTAGTTGGAATGCATTTGCCTTGTCTACATTTGGTACCTTGTGATTAAGCAAAGCAACGTAACCAGAGCAGAGAGTAAACTTGAAGCTCTAAACTTGTTTTGCATCTTGTTCGGGACAGATATGATTATAAACACATTCTAAAACTTTTCCGTTTGTAGATCGGGACCTGAGCGCTAGTTACGTGACCCTTTTCCATGTGACAAGGGGATGGATCGGCGAGCGTTGTTGCGTTGTTTTTTTTAAAGAGAGCTCAGAACTTGTGAGTATTTTGTTCGTTTTCCAATTCCATTTGGCTCTCTACCTAGATGTTTTGTACTTTTATCTTACTTCTTACCACTCGAGTTGAAAAATTCTGTGTTTATCAGTAATGGTGTCTGAGCAGAATTAGCCGGACATTTGGGGAGTAAAAGTGGGGAGTAAAATTTAATAAATAGCTCATGAATAAAATTGCGCGGGAAACTTGTTTAACTTATGCTAACTACGTTCAGGCAAGTACTAGTAATGACGTCATAACACCATAAGGTCCATTTGACGACCCATTTGACAGTTTAGCAAGCCCGTTGTTCTTTGAACATAAAAACCCACCACTTCTCGTCAAACCTTTTCGTAGCCTAATTTTGGAGGGAAAAAATCGAACTAAAGGATCTAATAGAGGTTGTAATTTTTTTTGTTACAATGCCCAGTCTCACCAACAATTCCGATATTAAAGCAAAGCGCCGTTAGTCAGTTAATTATGCGAGTTAACTAGTCGTCAACACAAATTGGCTCTACAGCCTTCACTTATTATTATAAAAACACAAAACAATTAATAACTTAACAAGGATCAATTAAAACACGCGACTAAAAAAACGCTACCCCCAAAAAGCAGACACGAGATACCGTTTTAAAAAACTTTATTGAAAACCAATGACAAAAAGCATCAGATACACAGCGAT